TCCCTTTCCCCTGACAAGACCTGAGAGCGTTTTCCCAGAAAGGTGATCCCAGCTACCTAAGACAGAAGCTAACACCAAGCCAGGCCTCATCCTCCGTTAGGCCCAATGGCCATTCTCCCTTCGATGAAATTCAATTCATCAGTTACTGTAGTGGCTGATTCCAAGTCCCCATGACCTGCTATAGCCCGTAGGCCGGAGGGCCTCCCCTAAAATGGACTCCTCCTTCCTGGTGCCTCAGGGCACAGCAGGTGCTCTTGGTAGCAAGGAGGGTAAAGATGGTTAAGACAATCAGAGCCTGGGATGGAGGTGTGCAGGGGTTATAACACCCAACACCCTAGGTCATGGTTCTGTTTATGCACCAGATATGGGGTAGAGACTGAGGCCAATTGTGTCCAAAAGGGACTTGAGCCAATTCAGTGCATAGACAAGCTGTGTGGACACACTAGAGACCCCGGGAAGCCTTCACCCTGCTGGTGGACTGGATGCCACCCAATGACCCACCCACAGGACTGCCAGGGCCATGGTATCTCAGAAGCCACTCCTCAGAATCCCAAACATCCTTGGAAATGGCCTTCCCGGGACATCAGAGATCAGCTGGTGCTAGGGCTGAGGAAGTGGACGATTTCCCTCTGATTCACCATGGCTGGGCCTGAACTCCCCACCTCTCCCTTGCTTCCTTATACCAACTACCCTGAAGCCATCAGGTTAACTCAATCCGTGGCTTCCTCCCCATCCATCAGGCACACGGCTCATCCACCCTTCCCTCCAATGTCTCACGTCTTCCCTCACCAATCTGCTCCTATCAGTATTGTGTTCAGCCCCTCAAACCCTAATCTCTGGATATTTGCAAGAGCATTTGAGTTGGTCCCCTGGCCACTAGCCCTCCTTCCACGAAGGCACTTTGGGCTCTGCTCCAGGGGCTAACTCTCCTGATGTTGCTTTCATCACCTTTAACTGCTTCTTAATGCGGAATCCCCTCCCCCCCCACCCACCCCCACCCCCGCCAAGACAGCAAGACGCTGACTTAGATTCAGCAGTCTATCCTAGGCAGTGAGGGAATGAGGCAGGAGAGCCAGATGAGCCAGTAAGGTACATTAATAAATGGACACCAGTGTGGGCAACCATTCCTGGACGCCGCTGGGACCCTCCGGGGTTTCCTGTGGAACATATGGCACCAGGGAATGGGGAGGCAGGGGGCACCACCCCACCCGCATCCCTCCTTGGCTGAGGGTTGCCCCTTAGGGCATAATCCCAATCCCTCACTCTCACCCAGGCTGCATCGGGGCTGAGCAAACTGGCACCATCCAAGAGGAGTCCTTCAAGAAACCCAGAGGCAAACTGTGGCGTGGAGTGGAGCTGTCCAGCAAGGCTCCATGAACTCTGGGTGAGCCACGGGGGAGTGGGGCAGGGCATCAAGTGCATCCATGGCAGCTTCCCAACGCCTTCAGAAGGAAGTCCTCACTCCCTCAGGGTGCCCTCTGGGGTAGAGCTGCCAGATAAAAGGCAGGACACCCGTTCAATTGGGATTTCAGATAACAGTGAAGGATTTTTTTTTACTGTAAATTTTCCCAAATGGTCCACGGGATACTCATATACAAAAAAAAGTTATTTGTTGTTTATCTAAAATTCTACTTTAACTGGTCATTTAATATTTTTATTTGCTAAGCCTGGCAACCTTGCTTCAGAGTCCTCCTTGATCGGGCCCCAATCCATTTCTGAGTACCCTGATTCTCAAACCCTTTCTTCCACAAGAAGGGGCTCTGTGCTGTACCTGAAAGCAGTCATCCAACCCCCAACTCACAGAGGTGCTCAAGCTGGTTCCCTGGTGGGAGTAACCCAGGTTCTCACACGTGTCTCGGTCCCGCCCACCAGCTCTGGGTTGAATGTCTCCGTGAACACGTCAGTCTGCTGTCCCCTCTCCCAATCTCCCCTCTGAAAAGGGGTGCTGCCAGCACCAGTCATCTGATGCCCTTGGGTCATGTGCTAGCATTTGTCTGAACGCCGTATTTTCCCACCTAGAGTATAAATCTCACCTAGCCTGACACAGTGATCAACAGGCCATTACTAGATGGTCAGTGAGAAGACCCCCTGGTCCCACCAGCAAATGCAAGCCCTATAAGGAGGGAGACAGAGCCCCACTCTTGCTCCCCTAGATCTCACCATCAACCAGAGCAGTACACATGTGTTGTGGAATAATTGAGTCAACAGCACTTTCGGTAAGGGATGGATCATGCCAGAAGGTTGTTTAAAGCAGCCAAAATCATGTCCAGCAAGCAAGAAGGGTGGTCAGAGTATTCCAGCTACACCGTGGCCTTTCCCCTCTCACAGTGTGGCCTCTTAGTCCTTTTCTGGGTTCTGGATTTTGTCCCACACTAACCACTAGCTGCACCCCTCCAGCGACCCCAAGCATATACCCCACACTGTAGTTGGCCTCAGTACAATATGGCCTGACACTGGACAGTGTCCCTTTTTTTTCTCTATGTCTCTTTAAAACCAGTTGCTCTGATGTCAACATGGTAGCCATACATGTTTATATCCCTTTAAATTTGCAAGAGCATTCCCATGACTTATTTTATTTCACATCTCCACAAGGTAGGCAAAGCAAATTATTATCTCTGACAAATGGGAGAAAGTGAGTGGTAAAAGGCTCCCTCAAGGGATCACCGCTCCAGGGAGACTTTTAACACCCATGTCTAATTTTTCATTTACAAACATGATTAAAAACGTCTCATGTTAGCAGTGTAAACAAGAATCATCCATTCTAAAATAGAATGCTTACTCCTGCATATTTGGGTCACCACCCTGGTGGCCACGCAGCAGCTAGTTACCTGCTCCCTGAGCTTCCCCCAGCGAGGAAGGGCTGGCTACCTCCTCACCTCCTCTCAACTAAAGGCTGCTCCCTCCGCTCCCTCCAGTACCCATCAGACCTTCTCCATGAGGGTGTGGGCACACGTGGAAGGGAAAGGAGCTGCGTTCAACAGACGCTGAAGGAAAGTGCCTCAGGGGGTTCAGTGGGAAGTGAGTGACAAGCAGCCCCACCCCAGTCCTGCCCAGTCGGAGGCGGGCCTCGGAGGGCGGGACTCACTGTGCGCTCCCACCCTGTGCCCAGGACCTGTCATCCCCACGGAGAGAACAAAACCACATTCTTCATGGAGCCCTCTACTCTTTGCGTATGCGGGTGTCTGTGCGCGTGCATCTGCGTGTAGTGTGTTTGAACAAACATTCACTTGGTTGGTGGAGGCCAGGGGCGTGACCCAGTCGGGGGTTTCTTTCGGGTGCAGGTAAGGGCTGCGCCGCATGTCCTACCACCTGACTTGTCCACAGGGAAGCTGGGGAAGGTCGCGGGCTACCTGGGTAGGCAAAACCCAGGGTGGGCACACGACCCTGTCCGGCGCTCCCTCGGGATGGACAAAGTCGAGCCGCAGACCGATCGATGTCGCCAAAGTCCGGGCGGGGCTGCCGGCGTGGCCGGGGCTGAAGTTCGACGCAGCTCTGCACGCGTTAGGGAATCCCGAGTCCCCAAATGCCCGAAATGTGCTCGGGGGGGGGGGGGGGCGGGCTAAGGGAACAGCTGCAGAATAGCTCCCCGACCCGCGCCCAGGCACACCGCGAGGGGAATTGGGCAGGAGGAAGGTCCATTTGGGGGCGCAGCTACACAGCCACACACCCCTCGCCCGCTGTCCCCGCCCACCGCCCCTCCCCTGCGTCCCCGGCAGCCGCGCGCGGCTCCACCTCTCCCGAGCGCAGTCCACACCGTCCTTTTTCAACAAAACAACACTACGCACCGCCCACAGCACCCGCACCGGGCGGGATCCGGGGCTACGCCCAGCCCGCCACCAGCCGCGCCCCGCGCCCCCTCCCGCGTCCCCGCCGCAGTCGGTCGCCGAGCCCCGGCCGCACACAGCTGGGGACAGAGCCGGAGCCTAGGCTCGGCGGCCCAGCTCGACCCTGCGCCGCCACCCATCCCCGAGCGCCCCAAGTGACAGGAGGGGCACGCACGGCGCGCGCGGGGCGTCCCGCGTTAACCGCTTCGGCGCCGGGGTCGACAACGACTCGAGGGTGGGGAGCTGGGGACCGCGCTGCGGGCACTCACCGGGATGTGCACTCGCAGCGAACGCCTCTTCTGGCTGGGGTTTTTTTTGCCACTGCTCCCGCCAGGGCTGGAAACATCTTTCTTCTTCTTGGTGTCCATGGCCGCGCTTCCCATAACTTGAACCAGAAGTTAATTCCGGGTGACTCGTTCCTGCAGTTCGGTCCTCTCCTTCCTAGCCCGGTCCCTGCTGTCGGCCTCGAGCCGCGCGCTCTTTATTATTATCCTTCCACCCGAAGACACCGCGTGGGGACTTCCCCGGGAGGGAAGGTGGCGCAGGTACCTCGGGCCGCCGCCACTGGGCCCGGATGGCGGTCGGCGTGAGCGCGGAGTTCACGTGTCCTCTTCCTCCTTGCGGGCTCAGCGGTGCAAAATCAAAGCCAGAGGCTGTCCTGGGGCTGGTGTCTCTCCGGGTTACGCGTGGCAGAGGTCTCCCGCTGGGTGACAAAGTTTTCTCCCTTTTGCAAAGCGAAGCAACATTTTCCACCCTCTCAGCTCCTCCCACAGATTCCCAGAGGTGATCTGAAAGGCAGGTGCAAAGTAAAGACAGTAACGTGGAAAACAAGCCTCCCGTGCCTGCGCCGAAGCGGACAGTCCGGCGAGAGGGAGCCAGTCTGTATGTAAATAGAAGCCTCGGCCGCAGAATGAACCAGCCGGGAGCCTGGAACTCGGCCCGTCCCCCTTCTGGGCGAGAGAGGGGAGGAGGGAGGAGCAGGCGCAAACGCGAACGCCCCGGCAGTTGGGCTCCCGCTCGGCTGCACGCAGAAGTTCTGGCGGCGGCTCGGCTCGCCGGGCCCCGCCAGCCGGAGGGCGCGCCCGCTGCGTCCCTCCGCCGCGCCGCGTCCCGGGGACAGGGAGCCGGCAGTGCGGGGCGGCGCGGCCGGACGCAGGCTCGCCGAGCGCGGGGCGGTGGAAGGCCGCGTGCACTGAACAGGAAGTGCACGGCGCGCGCCGCTCGCCCGCTCCCCGTGCCGCCCCCGGGTCGCCTGCCCTGCGGGCGGGGTCTGCCCTCCCCTGCGGCCGCGGCGGCGCGGGACTCGCTGGGAGCCGATTTCTGATGCATCTCGGCCCCCCGCCACTGTCTACGCCCGACCCTCGGAAACGCGCCCCCGCGCCCTGCCCCGCCACCCCCGCTGCGGCGGAAGCCCCGGGTTGCGTGGGGATGCGCACTGACCCGCACTTGCTTCCGGGGAAACCGCGGTCCCCCGTCCCTCTCCACCCGGCGGGCGGACCCCAATGCGCCCGGAGCGCGGTCGGTGTTGCCGGGAGTGCGGCTTTTCCCAGCCCACCCTACCCGCCCCCCCCCCCCCCGGCTTATCTCGGGTTCGCCCAGAGTTGCGCAGTGGGTCGGCGCTAAGTGCGGGCGCGATATCCGCAGCCCGGCCCGCGGAAAACGCGGAGTTCCTAGGACTGCGGAAAGCAGTGGGTGCGGAGAGGGCTGGAAACCCCGGGCGAGGCTTCCACGTGCCACCGCGTCGCCACTCTGGGGCGGCCCGTAGTAGCCGAGGGCCGGGGGGCTTGGGTGGTGCGGGCCCCCTTCCGAGCGCCCCGGGATGGCGCGACCTTGGCTCGCGGCTGGAAATGGGATGAATGCTCGGTCGGGAGACGCCTCCTTCCCCGCTCTAGGTTCTGAGGACGTAGTGACCCCAAAAGTCACTGGAGCGCCCTGAATGCTGGCGTCAGCTCCGCCTCTCCCCCTCATCAGAGAAAGAACGTGAGGAGGCGGCCTTAACTCTTGTCCAGGTGTGGGGATTTGAGGAGTTCTCTCCTCAGAGGAGGAGGGATTAGCCCGCCTCGGGGACACCCCTTAGGTGGCGCCTCCCACCCAGCCAGAAGCCAGGTGTTTCAGCCATCTTTCCTGTGTTCCTTCCATCATCTGGTGTGCAATCCCCTGCAGTCTGGGTGGTTCCTTGGTTCAATGGGGTTTTATATCTTCCTTCTCTTTCTCCCCTGCTCTCTAGTCCAGAATGAAGCCAGACTGGAAAATCCTGGAGCGCTCCTTGCTTGACAGAAGGTAAAGATGCTCTGGAGGGAACTAGTCTGGGTTCAAAAACCAAGTGGCCATTCTGGCCCCACGGGTGTGGAATTTCACACTTTGACCTTTTTCTGACTGGCTATTGGGGGGGGGGGGGTGACATGAGCCTGCGTTATTCTCCTAAATGCTGGAAACACTGCTTAGTAGCAGAAAAGGAGGTGGGGGGGTGCTTTACCTTGTGACTAAAGGAGCCCACCCTTACCTGCTCAAAATCTTCCCCAACTGTCACATAAATTTCATCTCTTTAGCTTAACATTTTAATCCCTGTCACAATAATAATTTTCCAGGGCGTGGAAATCACCCCATTTGACGAGAACTGATTTGGGAAGGAAAGATGGAGAGGTGGGCAGGAGCAAGTAGACAGAAGGGAAGTCAGGAAGAGCCACCAGGGAGGATTCAGAACCAGGAAGCCACTGTTATTGCTGTCAATAAAGGCTTTGCCTGGGGCCTGTCCTGGTTGATGGGCGGTGGTTAGCAGTTCTAATAGGTATTTTTGTCAGTTGCTTTGTATAAATATGCCCAATCATTCACTAATAAAATTGATGTGTTCTCTGAGTTTATTTTGCGGAGTGCAGACTTCAGGGCCTGGGGATCCTAAATTAAAATGTTGTACCATACTGCCTGCATTTTAAGAGCCTTTTGTTGTTGTTGTTATTACATATGTTAATAGTTCTGAGATCTGCGTGTTTCTTATAGACCACACCAAAGAAGAAGCTTACCAGACATTCTTTTTCCTTCTGAAAAGATATTAATAAATTGATCATATATCTTCCAATCAGTGGAGACTTAGAATTGAGTTTTTGTGATTGTTTTGCTTTGGGGTGCCTTCTGAAACCCCATCTTTGCCTCCCCCTTGCTGCACACACAGTTATTTTAGCCAGTGGCTGAACGCTGCATGCCAAGCAACTGCATCCATATGATGACCCTTGCTACTTGATTGTTACTGAATGCGCTGCCCTATGACTCCCTTCTCAAAAATAATGCAATACGATCTGTGCTGAGCACAATATCAAAATTTAAAATAAAGATAAGCATTCCTGAGTTTGCCTTTTGCTCAGGTCAACACCATTACTGATCCTGTCTTTATGAAAAATTCTGACTTTGGGGGTATAAAATAAAGTTTATATACATATACGTTTCTATAGATTATATATATAACAAGTTTATATACATAATAACCTTATATGTGTATTTATACGTGAAATATAAAGATTATATATATGTTCATATATAAGTTTATAATGCATTATATATATAGCGAAGCTAGCGCACAGGGTCTGAGTAAAGTCTTAAGTCACCAAATATCTGTGTGGTCCTCTACATTTTCCGGTGCCCTGGCAGTTAGGCTAAGAATGTGTAAATAATTCTGGCCAATGAAATGTGAGTAGATTTAGTGTGTATTATTTCTGAGTCAGGCAGTGAAGAGTCAGTATGTCTCCCTCACTTTTCTTTTCCTCTGCTGCCATCATCTTAAAGACCACATGTTCCGGATGGTGTCCAGTAAGAAAGGGGAGGGCAACTTGCTTCGGACTTGATTGAAGTGGGTTAAGCCACTGAGATTTTGATTCCACAGCATCGCCTTGCCTATAAAAAAAAAATTGCATTGAAATATTACTTATGATGACTGAGTTTTTTGGCACCCCCTTAAATTTTTACCCAGAGGCATCCACCTCACCCTGGTGTGGCCCTGTCCTTCTGATTGATGGAAGGATGAGAAGTAGAGGCTGGCCAGGATTGTGGGGGGCCGTGGGAAGCACCTTGGAGGTTCCAAGAGTGTGATTTCAGTCCTACCCCAGCACTGCCACTGATCTGCTATGTAACTGTGAGCAAGTCACTTCCTTCCCCCTTCTGCGAGAGAATCTTCTGACGATTTCTAAGGCCTCTTTAATGGGGAGCTTGTGTTTTGTCTTGATTATATATATTATACATCTTTGTTAATTGTATTGCTCCGGTAATCCCTTTTTTATTTAGCTTTTCAGAAATGCCATTGCACAATGAATTGAAAATTAAAAACAAACAAGCAAACAAAAGAGCTCTGGTCCTTCACCACAGATGGCTTAGGACAGTGCTTCTCAGAGAAAGGGGGCTTGTGGAAGATGTTTCCACTGGGGTATCACTAGTCCAGGCTGATAACAATGAGAGGTACAGGTATACAGCACCTACTATGTGCCAGTGCTGGGGCTGTTTTACAGGTTTTAGTACATCTACGGGAGGAGATGCTATTAACCCCATTTTATATCACACGTGTGTTTGTGTAATTGCTGGTCCACAGTTTTTCCCATTAAAATCCCCTAGAACTCTCAGAGACATTTTACAGAGGAGGGAAACCGAGACCAGCTGTCAGAGCGTGCTCTGATATCCATTTCACTTCTGTCTATTGATTTTAATTTGCAGGGCCCTCTGGAAAGAAACTAAAAAGCATGGCCCCCTCTGCTTTTAAAAGCTTTGTATGAGGCTAGCGGTACTATTTAGGAAACTCCTTCAGGGTGACCTTGGACAGGCATCAACAGCTCAGCTGCGTAGGTCTGTATATTTAGGAAACCAGTCGCTCAGTTCTGTGCAGAAAGCACCTCTCGGAAAAATGAAACAGGGTCTGGCCTGTGGACTCTGTGAATGCTTTGCTAATGCGTTGGATACCAGGGAGGCAGATGATGTCACTTCATCACGAAAACCAAGGCTAAGGGTCACATTCAAATGTTTATTTTCCTTTAAACACGGGCACTGATTATGTAACCTTGTGAAAGCTTTTGCTGCCACCGAGGCCACTAATGTCAACGTGAGGGTAGAGGTGGAGACGCACTCCCGACCAGCTGGGGAGAGCTGCTTTGGGGCGGCCTATCCCTTGACAACATTTTCCTGGGTCCCTTTTGATTTTACGGGGACCCACACAAGCCACCTCCTTTTTCTGTGTTTCAGATTGCTCTTCCTCCATAATGCCAGTTGACCATGGGTCGTCCTGCTCGTGCAATCCAACAAGTACTTTGGATTAAGATAAAGGTAAGCTCTGTGGCAATATTCTCCCAACGGACAGACTTGCTGTTCACTTTTTTTCTCTAGAGAACAGCCTGGTGTCTTGACCGGCTCGGGGCCTAAACACACACTCAGCAGTTCTAAAGAATGACAGATTCAGCAGGCAGGATATGTGTGACCCACAGCACTGTGCAGTGGAGAGGCATCTATTTGCTAAATAAAAGAATAGGTAATCCCAGCAATTATGTCCCCTTCCTTGACTAAGGGTAGTAGTCACGTAAACAGCATTAGCTGGGAATGAAGTCTTTGGTTCCACCAATGGCTGCTTTCATAACTGCTTTGTAGAGTGCCCATGTAACTTTTGTTCTGGTGATCCAGCATTTCCTCCCATCCAGGGAGTAGGTTTGGGCTCCCTGGGCTGCAGGATTTGACTAAAGGTCTGTGTATGTTGGTTCTCGACCTCGTTCTGAGCTTTGAACGCACTATCAGCTTGGAATATGGCTCATGACTGACTTCTGACCTCTCACTCAACCTATCATTTTGGGGAATGATAAAATAATGCAAATTAATTACAGTAATTTCCCAAGCGAATAAAATTTCTTTGGCAGTTCTACTAGCCCCAAAGTTCATATGCTGCAGTACAAATACAAACATTAACTTGCATGAGAGGGTGTTTATCGGCACGACTCAACCATTTGCTCGTGTAACTTGCAGCTGATATCCAGACCTGGCCACTAGAATGTCAGATATGGTTTTTCAAAAGACTGCAGGAAAAATCCATTTACAGCGCCTTAGGATTGGCCATGTTTGGAGAGCGGAGCTCCAGCGTGTCCTGGATTTTCAGGTGTTTTACAGACTAGAGCTCTTGACATCTACCCGTCACCGCAGATGCAGTTTCCATCCTGACTCTCAGAAAGCTGTGTCCCTCCCAGACGGCCCAGCCACACCTGGAGTTAAACCCGTGCACAAACTTGCCAGCGTCTATCCCTGTCCTTGAACCTTAGCACTTCATATCACAATCAATAAATGCCTGTTTGGTACACGGACAGAGCCTTACAAGATGCTCAGCTCAAGGGCTCTGGTTGTACAAGGAGGCTGTCAAGGACACGGTGATTTTTGACAATCCTCCTTATGCCATGTGGGTCAAAAATGTATTTTGTAAGATGTTCCTAAATATAACTCTGAAGAGTTGCATGAGGGCTTGGGAGAGAAACTCTGTGCCGTGCCGTGGGCTTGCTAAAGGTCATTTTAAATCATTGCAACACACACTCCCAGTGCACCATTGTGCAAAAGGATTTACTTTGTTTTTGTTTTTGTTTTTTTCTATCCCTATTCATTGTAGCATTTTACCCTCTAGGTGAAAAAGTAAAGCATAATTACAAAGTTCATTGTTCTTTGACCAGCCTGAGAGAACACTTTCCTGTCATCGTAGCTTATTCACACATGATGCAAGGGGTTTCGAGAATCTTGTGGACATGGGTGCAGAGTTTCTTGGGACAACCGGAAGGACACTGAGTGTAGCCAGGCTTGTGTGTGGGGCTCAGTGCTAATATGGAGCACTCGCGGAGACCCCCGTGCTCACGCTGGTCAAACCGAGGCCAGCAACCTGTCCAGTCTTGTGGCTAGGATGTGAGCACAGAAGCTTCAACCCGAGCTTCGACGAGAGTCTACATCTTGGTAGGATCATTGGTTCTGAGTCTTTTCTTTAGCTTTGCAGCCTTAAGAAATTGACATAATTTGTTCGCCAAGAACGGAGATAGCTAGAGAATTGGGTCATTTTAACCACTCCCTTGTGAGAGACTGGTTTTTCAGCCTGTCTGAAGATCTGTTCTTTTGCAGGGGGGAGGGGGGTGTTCTTGTGTGGTCTTTTCCCTCTACCCTTAGAGCCAGTCTCTGTCCCGCCCCTACTCTGGGTTGCCGGGAATTAATGTCCCAGGATCTTTAGCCAACTGATCCCACTTCGTGTCTGGCCACGTTTGGCCAGAGGGGGGCAGTTCGGGAGACTGGAGTATGGGAGCAGGAGGGAGGCCAGGGGTTCTTCTTGCCTTGTTTTGCCTTGGGGAGCATTTCTTTCCTCTGTGGCTCCAGCCCCACCAGCCAGACCCTCCCTCAGTGGCTGCCAGGCCACCCTGACTATGGTCCCAGAGCCCAGTGGACATTTGAGTGGAAATCAGGGGGACATGAGGGAGGGAACCAGGTGGGCAGCTGCGGGGGAAGATTTTAGGACAGGTCAGGAGGGCAGTGTGGCTGCGGGTGGTGGGAGGACAGGTGGGGCTTTATGTGGGGATGATGTTGGGGAACATCAGCCAGAAGAATGGCACGATCTGGCTTCTGTTCTGAAGGATTGGCCTGGAGGCTCTGTGAAGGAGAGAGTAAAAGGAGCTGTGACCGTCACCCAAGCAAGAGACACCGTGGCTCAGATCACGAAGGGAGAGGCAGGGCGGTGAGGAGTAGTTGCCTCCGGGTATATTCTGAAGACAGAATCCCCAGAATTTGCTGATAGATTGGGCACAGGGTCTGAGAGAAGGAAACAGGTGACATATGGCTCTGAGGGTCTTGGCCCGAGCAGCTAGAATGATCCTATTTCTTAGGAAGGGAGGCTCAGGGTGAGGCCGGGGAAGCGGGGAGTCTGCTTTGGGCTGTAGTAAGTCTGAGGTGCCTGTAGGGACCTAAGCGAAGATACCTGAGCCACAGGGAGAAGTCTGGCTGGAGACATCAGCCCACCTGGCATTTCAGTCCAGAAGTGGGAAGAGATGGATGGATGGAGTGGGGGGGACAGTCCATCGGGTGACAGGAGGCTCGTCACGTGACTGGAGGGAGGGGTGCCCAGAGGCACGGGCAGGGAGCTGGGGGATTCTGGTTTCCCCAGGAATATGGAGCAGTGGACCCCGTGATGGCAGAGAAGGTGCAGGGGTTGGAGGAGAGACGGGAAAGCAGAGCGGGGAGGCGCCGCGTGGGGACCTTTCCGCGCACGAGTGGAAGGACGCGGTGTGCATCTGCTAACTCAGCAGCATGTCCTGGAGGGTGTGCCTAGCAGTTTGCAGAGAGCTGCCCTGTTCCCGGAACTGGCCACGACGTAGTATTCCACTGTAGAAACGCCGCATAACTTACTTGATCGTGATTTGTTATTTATTACATGTGTTTATTTAAGCAGTCCCCTCCTGATGAGAATTGAGCTTGCTCCCAGTGCTGGAATGCTGACACACACTGTGGTGTTGTGAGGGACCCGCACTCCGAGTGATGCAGGTGTTGCACCGTCCACCTCGAGAGGCAGGCCGTCTGTCCTTCTTAGGTGGACGGCATGCAGTCCCACCAACAGGGCGCGTGCAGGCCTGTCTCATGAGGTCCAGCAGCCAAGTCGCTTTTCTAACTTTTTGATATTTGCTGAAAATAGTGTCTCGTACTTGGACTGTGTAGTTTTCTTGTTCTGAATGAGGAACAGCTTTTGTGCATTCGTATTTGCTTCCCGTGAGTTATCTGTCTGTGCTTTTGGCCCTTTCTCCTGCTGGAGCTAGCTCTTTCTCTCACCTGCTTGCAGGGGCTCTTTATACCTTCACAGAATTAGCCCCGTCAGTGCCGTGGATCGCAAGCATTTCTTCCCGGTCTCTTTGTCTTCTGACTTTGTTTATCTTGCCTTTTTTTTTTGCATGCAGGATTTTCCCCTTTTTATGTGGTTTGTGTTACTGATTTATTTCCATGGCTCCTGAGGTTTTCTGTCACATACAGAGGAGTGTGGTGGGAGGGGACAGGCTCTGGACTCACACTTGCCTCTGCCACTCCCCGGTGGTGTATCTGCAGGCACGTTGCACAACCACTTGGTAAACACAGGATGAGTGTCTGGGAGTGCGTAAGCACCTGCACGTGGGACGTGCCCCTTTCTCTTCCTCAACGTCAGTCCCAAAAGCAGAGCGCACAGCAACGGCATGTTTGCTGTTTGCTTTCCGGAATTCTTCTGGAAAATCACAGCACCCATAATTTCCTGGGCATGTGCCCTGTGGCCCCCTGAAGTCCACCTGGCCTGTGCTCAGAGGCGATATATTCACCCCAGAGGAGAGCTTATGTCCTAGAAGCCTGTTCCAAAGTTGCCGTCGGTCCCGGGGCAGCCGAGAGCCTGGCTCCTCAGAGAAGAGGTAGCATTTCTCACAGTGCAGCCCTCAGGCACTGAGCTCCTTCCCCACGCTCTGATTGGGCAGTTTGGGGTAGGCCGTGTGCACCTGCTGGTTTGAAGTTTGAGACCTGCTGGTCTGACCCTTCCAGCGATCCTTCTCTTGGAAAGTACTTTGGGAACCAGGGACACAACAGCTGCACAATTTGCTCTGTCTTTCCAGCCAAGAGAGTTGCAGGCACGGTGCCTGCCTGTCACCCACCAGAAGGTGTGTGGCTATGGAGGGTGCCCTCGAGAAGAGCCCGTCCCCCAGGGTCACCAGGCGGGAGAGCACAGCTGCTTCCCCCGGAGCTGAACTGAGCCGCCCTCCCAGCTGTGTGCGCTGAAAGCCTGTCTAAGTCCCGATGGGGGGACAGGTGGGGAAGGGGATGCCAACATGCACCCCCTTTCCATTTCACGTGCACGACCTCTGCACCAAGGCTTCCCTGAAGAGAGATTATGTTGTATGAGATGTAAATGTGAGTTTAGGGTTTTTGACTTTATAAGTCTCTCTAGAGACTTTTACATTATTGAACAACAGAAGAATGAGTCAGAGGCCTGGAAGTGAGATATCACTTAAGGCCCAAGTGGAAAGAGGGAATTTTATGAAGGCGGAAAAGGGATCACATGGGATTTTAGAAAGTATGGTAGGCGTTGCACTGGGACTCCGGAGGGAGAAGGGCAATGGAGTTATTTGGGGGTGGTGTTTCAAGGAGGGCATGAGACCCTGCAGAGAAGTCTGTTTCTACCTAGAACTGGTCCAACCAGAGCTGTGTCTGAAACCCCGACAGACAGGACTCGATTCTATTAGGGCAGGGGCTGAGTGTGGCTAGCCAACATGGGGATGTGATAGTATGAAACATAAAAAAGCCGTATGTTAAGATCTCCAGAGAGAAATTCCTGTTTGGTCTTAAAACCAACCACAGTGGTCTTTCTCCTAAACTCTTGGTTCATTTGGTCCTCGTGGGCCCTGGAATGGACCCTCATGTCTTTCTCATGGGTGGGCCGAGCACAGAGCATCAACGCTGAAAGCTGGAACCCACCCACATGTGTGGTGTCCATTCATTGCTTTATCCTCCTCTTTGGGGGATCTTGCCTCCCCTGCTGAAGGGGCTGTCCCTCCGCCTCACGGTTCTGGTCCCTGCCCACCGGCTCAGCCAATCACAACCACCCTCACTTGGGGAGCCAAACAGAGCCCTGCCCTGGGATTCTAACTGGAGCTGACCAAGCCCCTTTCCTCCCCACCCCAAGGCTGCAAGGCTTCCATCTGGAGCTGCCCCCCTCAAAGGACAGTAGCCTTGGCCCCTGAAGAGTAGGGCTCTCAGAAAGAGTAGGGAAGGGGGGACATGGAAGCCTTGGCCCCTTCACCCCAACACCATTTCCTCCTCTCCCTCTCCCTGTGAGCCAACAACATTCCATCTTTTCCTAAGATAAGGTTGGATTTCTGCCTCTTGCAAGACAAGAGTCTTGACTAACAAGCATCTCACTTTTAATTAACTTAATTTTGTTATTCTTTCTAGAACAGGGTGGGGAGGAAAAGAAGGGACACAGGAAGGGAGGAGAGAAGCAAAGAAGGAAGGGAAGGCTGTATGTGCAGAGTTTGTAGCCCACAGGAGTGCCTGTTATCTGGCTGTTACAGCCTGACCCCTCTGCCCCTCGGCCACCTTGGCCACAGTCTTCACTGTGGTCAGGTAGCCTGGCCCTCGTGGCCAGCAGCCTCCCGAAGGCCCTGCAGGACCAGGCTGTTGATTCCCAAGCCCATTCTGGATATCGGTGGGAACGGAAGCCTCCGAGGCTGTGAGACCTGCCATCCATGTGGGTGGTCAGCTTCCCAACTCCACACAGTATTTGCGGGATGCTAGGGCCATTTTCAGAGGCTCAGCTCTAGCAGAGGCATTGGATAATCTTGCAGGTCTGGTATCTCTGATGGGATCGGAGTGCATAAATCTTCTCCCATAGGAAAAGAACTTTGCCCTTTGCGCTTGAAGAAAGCCTGCTTAAGCTTACTAATGACTAGGATTATCAAGGTCCACTGGTAATTTTTCAAGTTACCTGAGCAAGAAAAAAAAAAAAACAGTGATCACAGAAGCTAAGACCCAGCATCATCAAGCGCACGTTGGTCATTTGCTTCGACAGACAGAATTCAGTCCTTTTTATTTCTGGCTAAACTCCCGTGGCTCTGTAACCAGATACCTCCGGGCTGGGAGGAGAGGCTGCTCCAGGACGGAAGGGTTGTTGGGTTGATGTAAATGGTCAGATTTCTGGTTCAGAGAATTACCAAGACCTGATGAAAAAGAGCCCATTTTCCTTTTGGTTTACTCTTACCACATCCTCATTTTTTTTTTTTTTTTAATCCTTGTATCTCTTTGTGTTTTTACATCCAGATTCACCAAGTGGCTAATCTTAGGGCTACATGAGATCGCAAAATGCCCTGCCTCCCTGTTCTACCAGTGTTCTGCTTTCATTGAGAGCAAGCGAACAGCACACAAATAAGAGCATTGTAATAGTCCACTGGGAAGATCTGCATTTGCTCGAATGATTTTCCTGTTGCTCAAAATATTTTGGAAATCCTTTTAAACCTTTTGTAAATTTAGGGCAGTTTGTGAGGTGCAAAAAAGCAAAAATACCAATGTCATTAGACTTCCAGTGGAATACTTGTGCAAACATCTAGCCAAATCGTCAGCGTAGATGAGGCACGCAAAGGATCCAGTAGTGAAATTCCCACATTACAGTGTCTGTCCACATCCCACTAGCCAGTGAATGTTGCTCCAGCTGACCCTTATTAATGAAAACTTGGATCTGTTTCAGGCTGAATTGCTAGGATCCCAGGGATTACTCAGTTCATCTCTCTCTCCCTCATTAGACAAAGAAACAGTAACTTCAGAGGCTCCCATTTGCCGGCATATCTGTGTCAGTTGGGATCCTCGGGGAGGTGGATGCCAAGACAGAATTAGACATGGGGACGCCTGGGTGGCTCAGTCGGTTAAGCGGCTGCCTTCGGCCCAGGTCATGATCCCAGGGTCCTGGGATCGAGTCCCACATTGGGCTCCTTGCTCAGCGGGGAACCTGCTTCTCCCTCTCTCTCCCTCTGCTTGTGCTCTCTCTGTCAAATAAATAAAATCTTTAAAAAAAAAAAAAAAAAAGAATTAAGACACGTACGAGATTGAATGGGGGCACTGTCTGTGCAGGGTGCAGAGGAGAACGAGCAGCGGTAGTTGGGGAGAGCCTCAGCCCATGGCCCAGGTCTGAGGGACAGTGGAAAGGGCTGGGTAGGAAAAGCCTCAGATCAGCACAGTTCTGAGCACTGTTCACAGCCAGACCAAGGAGGGGGTGGTCAACACACACGAGTGGTCAAAGACATACTGTGGACCCCATGTGTTATGTCGTTGCCTGGGGACAGCCCGAGGAAGGCACGGCCTCTGAGGCTAAGCGGGAGGCTCTGGGGCTTCAGTCAAGGGTGCCTCCGTGGCAGGGCCTTTGGAGGGACAGCTGGGTGTCATCTCCGTGGCCACCACATCCCCCGTTGCAACACATGGATGCACGATTCTGTGCATGTGTAGGGAGCAACTCCCCTGTGGTTTCTTAGGTCTCTCCTCTCACTCTTGGGGATACTTAGAAGGGGATGGATGGGATTAACTGTAAGCCACAATTGCTGCGGCTGGTCTGGGTGCCCCATGGGTGCCCATTCCCCCCCGCCCAACCCCCACAGTATCCAGTCTAAATGGCCTGCCTGGGCGTGTGACCCAGACCTTGGCCTGAGGGCTCGGAGTCCTTTAGAACCACACCGTCCTTGGGCCAGGGCTGCAGGGCTCACAGTCATGCTGAGCCCGCACGAGGGAGGAGCCGCACAGGTCCGTGGCTTCCACGTGTCTTCCTCCCCCAGCGCATTGTACGAAAGCACGCTAACTCCTACTGCTGATCAAGGTCAACTTACCCCACCAGGAGAGTGACTTCCTTCCTTGCCCACCGGGCCCTGGCTGTGCGGAGCCAGAAGTGTCCTGGTGATAGCTATAGCCTGTAGTTCAGTAGGACCCTGGCTGTGTCCCCTGGCAAGAGAATGTCCTCTTTTGGAACCCAGACTTTTAGCTCTACAGAGCCCAGAGTTGCAGGGGCAGGAAGCAAAGAGTCTCCCAGCAGGTCACGGGGGCGACTCCATAGTCCACGTGTCCACGTGTTCTTCCCACGGGAGACACAGCACCACGGAGAGGTCTCCGATTGAAAGCACACGATGCACCTGCAAGGTGTTCCTTCCCAACCCTGCACAGCATCCCCTCCGAGCTTCAGGGACTCCTTCAATCCCCTATCCCGGCTCTCTGTGAGCCTGGCTGCCTCTGGATGGTGCGATAGACCAGTGCACCCTATAGTCATGGCCCCACTCCTGCGCCTTCTTAGCTGTAAAGTGATCTGTTGGATGCTCTGTTGTGTGGAGTCCATGCTTGGCCACTGTCCCATAAAACCCCTAGACAGTGGTGCTAGCTGAGGCTCTGTGGGCAGGAAAGACATAATCCACACCTGGAATAGGTATCTATCCTTGTAAGATGAACTGCTGGCCCTTCCGAGATGTAAGGGGCTTAATGTGGCCACCTTGCTACCAGGCAGATGGTCTCCTCAAGGAATAGCACCGCCTGGGGTCAGCAGTAGTCTCAGTGGCTGACTGACTGGAAATCCCGAGGGGGCAGTTGCTAGATAAATGGGAGTCCTGCTGTCAGGCCCACGCGTAGCCTCCTTCTCTGCCACTCTGGTTGCTCCATTCATGTACCCACCTCGCCAGTCCCGGGGTGGCTGGTGACAAAGGTTAGCTGCCATTGACCAGTGAGGCAGTTTGCACACTTGGCTCTCTGGGGACCAAGAGCCTCCTGCTTAGCCTCAGAGGCCATGCGTTCCTCTGACTGTCCCCAGGGTCTTGCACGGCAGGTGCTCTCTGGTGGGCACCAACATGGGATTCAAACATCTTTACACCTTGTGTCCGCTCCCATATGTCCGTCCACCTGCCTCTCCCCAGACCTTTCTGTCCCTGACCCTCCAGCCTTTTTCCTTCCAGACCCCTAACCAGCTAGCTGGGCCACTGGCCACAGCCCAGGCACCTTGGTCTGGAAAGAGATTTCCACACACGTGGGTGAGCACATGCCCACTGGGAAGAGCTGTTGCCTGGGTCATTCAGGGCTGCCCCGGAACATGACTGGAACGCAGCTGCCGAACATTTTCAGATTCCTCCCCCAAGATGGCCATCTGTCAGTCAAGCTGGGATTTTTTTATTTGCTCCTTACAGTGGTCATATAGGACGCCCCACTCCCCACATGGCCATAGGAGCGGGCTGGTAGGGGGCTGCCGGTGAAACCGTTGTGAGTGACGCGGCAGTCTGAGATGCCAGCTCGTGCAGCTTCCTCACGCCCTGTGATTTTGCTCAGCCTCCATCCTCTTGCAACGGACTGCTGCTCGTCTGTTCAGCCTTGTGACTCGGTGGGTCCCATAGGCCCTAGGTCCCCCGGGGGCCCTTCCAGGTGCATGCACAGTTGGTGTTCCAGGGTCAAGTGTTCCCTCTACCAGGAGCCTATTTCTCAAAAGGAGCATGGTTCCCTGCTGTAGCTGGCATGGCCGTGCTCCAGACCATTGCTCCTGCATTGGGATTCTCCCCTGGCTGGTCATGACCTCCATGCTGCATTTACTCCCGCTGTTGAGACCCCCACCACTGCCGTGGACTCATCAACCCCCTCCCAGGCCACCAGCCCCACCTGCCCTAGCTCTCCCCCAGCCCCATTCCCCAGTTCTACCTGGCAGTGTCTCCCCCAGGAGGTGGGCAGGCTGGCCTCTGTGGCCCATGAGCATGCTATGGGGGTTGAATTGTATCCCCCAGAGACACATGTTGAAACCATATGCCTGGCACCTGTGAATGTGACCTTGCCTGGAAATTGGGTCATTGCCGATGTCATCTGGTTAACTAGGGGGAGGTCATCAAGGTGGCCCCTAACCTAGATGACGGGGTCCTTATGAGAAGAGAGGAGACACAGACACGCAGCGAGGGGAACGCCTTGTGAAGACGCACGCGCACGGAGGCCACACAGAAGCCACGTGAGGGTGGAGACTGGTCGGAGTGATGCAGCACCAGGATCTGAGAGCCAGGCACCGAGCACCTCCTCCCTGAGAGCCTCGTGGGCTCTGCTGATGGCCCGGGTGACCCGTGATTTCGGACTTCTAGCCTCCAGAACTGCAAGGGACTGAGTTATGTTATGAGCCACCCAGGCCGTGACACTTGTGACAGCAGCCGTGGAAACTGATACACACACCTTTCTCGGCTGCCCCCCTGCACTTTGTCCTGCGTCCTCTCCTGCCTGGAAGCCCCCCTCCCCCTCTCCTCCACGTACCCACCACTCCCTTTGTCCCTGTCGGGGCACCCAAATTTCCCTTGGAACACTCGGGCTCTCGCTCACCCCCTACCCTGCTGCGTTCTTCCATCTACGGGCGGCGCTGTACCCCTTAGCACTTAATTTTAAACTGCCCCCTTGATTTATGTGTATTTCCCACTTGGCTCCGTGAAAGGATTTTAGGCAGCTGCTGCTTCCCGTTGCTGGCTAAAAGGCTATTTCTGCTGTATTTTTCAAGACTGCCCCGATTGGTTTTGGAACCAAGTAGGGTCTGACCTCAGCCCTCAGGGTAGAGAGCACACGGCACGTCTCCACGTGGGGTTAGGGCCTGCCTGAGAGGGGACCGGATCACAGGGGTGCAGGCCTCCGAAAAACCCAGCTATCGGGGGCCCAGCCATGCCCAGCATCTGACTCGATGCTCTGTTATGGTCAGTCTTCAAGGCTCTGACTCTGTGATTTAACCAGCCCGAGTGGCACGGGGACCACACCAGAGGCTATGAGAGACGCAGTCTGTTGGGGATTTGGGCCGAGCCCCATATTTGAACCCACCGAGCCTCTAACTCCGAAGGTCCTTTAATAGCTCTCAGGAGAAAAAAAAAACAAAACGCAGATCTTACCATGTGAAAGTTAATGCACAGGAAGGGGACAGGAGGACCCATTCCAAATGTAAATCAAGGACAATTTACATTTAGCAACAGCCACATTTAGCACCCATAGCTTCAATTTTAATTAAGGCAGAGTGTCTCATCTCCAATCAAGGCCAGAGAATTAGCACATTCTCGTGACACATCATGTCATCTGGCAGAGCGGCTTTGCGGGGAGCCCCTGGTGTGACAGCCGGCTGGGGACCAGCTGTGCTCTTGGTGGCGCCCGGTGGCTGTGCCCTGCCTCCCGGAGGACTCCTTCTGACCTGCAGTGTGTGAGCTGAGTGTAGCAACAACCCCATCACGGGACCCTCCGAGGCCCCCGCTCTGTCTCCCCTTTTGGTGGGGAAAGATTTGTCACCCGCTCCCACCCCAGCACCGACAGCCGTGCGTGCCTCAGCTTCCTCATCTGCACAGTGGGCATCTGCCTCACCTGGCCCTTTGCTCTGAGCCTTGAAGGAGGAGGTGTGTGGGCCAGCAGTTTGCAGGACGTGAAGCCCTCTCTAAATTGCTCATCATCCCCATATGTCCCGTGTGTCAGAGAAGCCTGTGAAACTGTCATCCTTTGCTTTGTCGTGCCTGCTGGGAGGGGCGTTTCAGAGACCCCGGGCAGGAGTGACGTCCAGCTGGAGCAGAGGCAGCTGACCACGTGGGACCAGGACGTGGGCCTCGGCCCTAGGATGTCTGGGCCCCGCGCGATCCTTCTGGTTACAGAATCTGCAGTGACGTCACAGCCCCCATCGAATGGTGCCAGGCTGGCCCCTCCCCATCCGGTGCTGTGGCCTCCTCCCACAGGGACGGGGTCTTCAGGCTCCTCACGAAGGACAGCCCTCCACTTCAGGCAATCCTGGAGGTTTACAGACAGGACCCCCGAAACCCAGCCTTCCTGCCTTACAGTATTAGGATGGCTGGGTGCCTCTTTCCCCTGAGGCTGTTCTTAACTAGCCCAGGGACAGAAACGTCCCACCCTTTTCACCATCAGTGGGCTTTGGGGGGGGTGTGAAACCAGTGCCCACCTCCCACCCAGCCCAGAGGAAGTTGGGTCATAAAGAGCATTTTCCAAAACACGTAGGAAAAAAATCACAGTTCATCACAAATTCACAAATATACGCCTGCAAATTTAGCAGTGCTGTCTTCAGAAAGGCAGGTACCCTTCCTCAACCTCAGGAAGTGCAGAGATCAGGACGCTCGGCTCTCTGCGGTGCCGGGGTCTCTGGTGCTACCCCCCAGCTTGCTGTCCAGTCCTGTTTCTGATCCTTGTTTTAGTGGCTCTATTATATTGTGCCTTTTACTGTACATGATCTCAGATGGTTTTCTCCTGAGTAGGAGAGGTACAGATCACCCATCTTATTTATAACTGCAGCGAAGATCAGAATCAGAGTGTATAAATTGGGGAGGAATGTGGAGGAAAAGATGCTGGGCAAACAGGCTGCTGTTGGCACCTCGTTTTTGCCTTCCCCTTGGTTTCGATGACCCTGTAGCTTCGGCCAGACAGGCGCTCAGGAAGTAGCTAATGATTCGGCCAAAGGCATTTATTGACCACGTCATTTCCACGCGGCCAGCACGGACCGTGCTCCCTGGAGGACATACAGGAAAAAGTGCAGGCCCCACACCCACCAAGAGGAGATGAGAGGGGCCCTCGTGGAGGAATGCAGCCAGTCCCTGACCAGCGGGAATTGTCACAGGAGCTAACATTTATTATGTGCCTGTGTGGGACAGCTTTGTGCTGGGTGCTCTCGGCCCACCTGTGACCTCTCACACGTCCTTCGGTGGAGGGTCCTGTCACTGTTTCACAGATGAAGACATAGAGATCCGGGACACTAACTGTGGTCAAGATGGTGCCGGAGCAAGGGCCAGAGAGCTTCAACCAGGACCGGACAGCCTGGATTTCCAGCAGGTGTGTGGGGCCCTGAGGCAGACACCCAGAGCCACGGAGCAGCAGGGAGGGGGTGGCCGGGCCTTGTGGTCGCACCCTGAGGGACCGGCTACAAGCGACAGGGACCCCTGCACTGCCTGGGACCACAGCGCGCCTCCGAGGTACCTTCCCTCTCCCGTTCCCCTCCACAGCCCTTTCAGACTCTCCCCTCCCCTCACTCCAGCCAGTAATCTTTCCTCCTACTTCTCCAGCAAAGGGACAGTCAGAAGGGGACTTCTGCCAGGCTCCCTCCCCCACGGACCCCCTACCAGCAGCGACTCCCACAGACGACTCTTGACTCTCTCTTTGCTAGCAACCGCCATTCTGCTCTCCTCGAGCCATCATTCCCTCTCTTTCCTGCTCCATCAATGTTTCTCTCGCCCATGCAGTGGTTCTTCCTCTTGGCTACACTTTGGAGGCACCCAGTGAGCTTGAAAACAAAATGAATGGGGGCCTTGTTCCTACAGACTTGGACTGGAATAGCCTGGAGTTCTCCCCAGGCGTCCGGAGTCATGACGCTGACTGTGCCCAGCATCCGCAGCCGAGAGCCAGCTTTCCTAGGGCGCCCACCAGCCAGCTCTCTCCCACCCATGCCCCTCCAGCTGCTGACACCCCCCCACCACGTCAGCCCTCAGTCCTCATCTTACTCACTTTCCAGCAGCACTGAGCAGTCGGTCTCTCCTTCTTTCTTGAAGAACTTCCTTCCCTGGCTCCCTGACCTCTCGCTGGGGCTCTCCGTCTACCTCGCTGGCCGTTGCTGGTTCCTCCTGATCGACTCTTGGTGGCCCGGGTCTCCATGCTGGGACCTGTTCTCTTCCCCGGGTACACTCACCCTTTGCTGTGCTCACTCAGCCTGAGGGCTTTATAAGTCATCCATTCCCTAAGATTGGATCTCTGGTCTGACCTCTTTCTTAGCGCTAGACTTGTATATCCAGATGCCCACTTGACCTCTCCACGTGGGGATCTCTCTGACATCTCAAACCAGACATACCCCAAACCGGGGTCCTGCCCTTCTACCCACCACACCACAGCCTTACCAGCCTTCCTGTTACTCAAGCCAAAAACTGAGTTGTCTTGGATTGCTTACCTTCTTTTTTTTTTTTTTATTTTATTCTTATGTTAATCCCCATACATTACATCATTAGTTTTAGATGAAGTGTTCCATGATTCATTGTTTGTGCACAACACCCAGTGCTCCATGCGGATTGCTTACCTTCTTAATGCCTACTTCCAATCCCATCAGCAAATCCAGGGGGTCCTGCATCAAAGTGTATCCAGAACCTTTGCTTCTGACCCATCTTCCATGCCAGTCTGGTCCAAACTGGATCGTCTATCACCTGGTAACTGGTTTCTACTTCCACCCCCCTCCCCTGGTACATTCTCAAAACAATAGTTAGAGTGATCCTCTACCAAAATCCCTCCAAAGGCTCTACCTTTCACTCTTGTCAAAGCCCATGTCCCCACGATGACCTACAAGGCCTTCATGATGGGCTTTCCATTTGTCCCCTCCTCGCCCCTTCTCCAGCTGGCTAGCTGTTCTCCAAGCTCTTGCTCCAACATGCCGGACTCCCTCCTACCTCAGGCTCTTTTGCATGGACTACTCCCTCTGCCTGGAAATGTGCTTTTCCTAGGTATCTGGATGATCTACTTTCTCCTTTCCTCCAGCTCCCCACTCAAATTCCACTTCTCAGTGAGTCCTTCCCAGATTGGCCTTTTAAAAATTGAAATAGTCTTTCCTGGCATCTCCCTTCTTTGCTCATTTATCATCTCTGGCACATGTCACCTCCTAATACCTAATATCTCCCAATGCTTAATTTACTTATATGTTGTGTTTATTGTCCGCTCCCACAGGAGGTTTTAAGTCCCATGAGGTCAGAGATGTTTGTTTTGTTCAGTGTTCCATAATCTACTACGGTGCCTGGTGCTTAGGAGACAGTCAATAGTGTTTCTTGAATGAACGAATGTGATGCAGACCAGGAGCTGTGGGGGATGGTGAAGGGAGGAAGAAGGCCTCGTTTGGTTCCACAGGGATTATCACTAATATTTGGTGCTGGGAGTGCTTCCTGAAGAAGATCAGAGCTGAACCTTGAAGGGAGGATAGTCTTTAACGATAGTAATAACAGTTGGGATAAGCAACGGGGACTCATGAAATCCTAGGAACTATTTTGTCAGAGCTCTGCTCTCAGAGGAAGGACGGCCCTGGAAAAGCCGAACCGGAGGTAGGGTGAGGAGGTGGGATGTGAAAGCAAGCCCGGAGGCAGGGACACAGTCTCCTGGAACGTGTGGGTGCTGCGGCGAGCTGCCAGGCCCCCCATCCTTGGCCCCCACCACGAGCTGCCAGGCCCCCTCCCCCCCGCCCGTCCTCGGTCCCCAGCAAGACGACACAGTGCTTCACAGGGAGGGTTAGGAATCCCGTCTGTGTTTTCCTGGGGATGTACCTGTCTTGAAGGAAATTCTTTGTGGAGACGGAAACAAAAGACGTGCAGATCTGTGGTCAGTGATTGGGCATTGATCCCCGTTTCCAGTCACAATTATGTGTTGCCATGACAACTGCACAGTCAGGACCAAGCCAGAGTCTCACTCGGCGTATCAGATGCAGACACGCTGTGTGCACTTTTCCACCTCAGCCTGAAACGTGGAAGCCACAGGTTTTCATGCCAGAAACCCAAGGAGAAGGCCACGGCTCGCCCTTCAGGAAAGGGAGGGCATGGGGGCGTATTCACCCCGCTGCTCGAAAATCTCTGAAAACAGCTTTGACTGCGCCCCTCCGTGGCTCCCTCCTCTTGTCTACTGTCTTCACTCCCTCACGTCTGCACCACTTGCTTTGGCCAAATTCACTTTCTCATAATTTTCTAGATGCACCAGGGAGGAGAACAGTGTATAAGCCAGGAGACAGAGGAATGAAACAGCATGGAATGTTCTGGAAGCACTTGGGGCTGTGAGGGGCCAGGTGGGGAGGAAGGACTTTGGCATCTGCAGACACTACGCTAAGCCCGGCTCTGCCACGCACGGGTAATGGGCAAGTTCCCTCATTGTCTAAACGTGCTCTCCTCACCTCAGTAAGACTGCCTTGCACGTCAGTGCTGAGCTGAGTGAGGCTGGCTGTCTGCACGCCTCTAGCATGGCATCTCCAAACACAGCAGAGGTGGGCAGATGGGGAGGGCGTCCTCATGCTGCACACTGAAGACTTGGAGTTGGCTGGTGGGGGCAAGGAGTCAGGGAGAGATTTAAAGCTGAGGAAGGGTTGGTGCTGCTATTAATCCCATTTTATAGACAACAAAACTAAGGTACAGAGAGGTTAAGTAATTCGCTCAAGACTGCACACTTAGTAGGTAGCCGAGCTGGATTCACACCCAAGCTCTTAACCACCATAGTGGATATTCTTCCTCCAACTAAATAGGAAAAGGAAAGGTCTTTGAGGCTAAGGCCATGTTAGGGACTGTGGAAGAATTGACTGAGATCCACAGAAAAGCTGGACTTGGCTTTGCCCCCAACATAGTGGTTAAGCTGCTGAGAAAGGAAGAATTTAGGTGATCGGCATACCCATCAACACATTTCCTTCAACAAGGATGGACCATCGGCCCTCTCCGAAGCCTATGGCACCACCCCTTACTCCTAGTGTATTGCGGAAAGGCCTGTCTGAAGTCCTCCGTGCTCTGGGCCAACCGTACGGCCTTGTGGAGCTTGTCGTAGGAAGGACAGGTTCCCAGCAGCTGTTTCCAGCCCTCCAGGCCGATCTGGGAAGGAGAGGTCCTGGTGCTAGGACTCAAGACTGCTCACACATACACACACACACACCCCCAGCAGAGAAGTGTGCACGAGAAAGCCCAACACCTACATCGGGACTCAGGCTGAAGACGAGAGTGTCGTCTGCAGCCACGGAAGACTATAATGGCCATCTCTTAGTCAGGGGCCACTGCACATATCTCAGCCAGAAAGAATTTAATATGGAGCATCAAACCCAGCACGGTCCCTGCCTGGCTGTGGGCTGGCAAGCCCGCGGAGCCGGCCCTGCTGCTCCTGCCACCCTTTGGGCTGGGACTCCAATAGGAGGAGAGGTGGTTGGAGGTGGTTCTACCAGAAGCCCCCAAACCAGGGTCATCTGACTGTCGCTTGGCCATCAAAGGAGGGGAGTGTAATTGGCCACCAAGGAGGTGTTGCAGCTTCTCTTCCAGGGACACCCCAGAAAGCAGAGAAATACTCTGGACCTCCTTCAGCTTCCCCTTTTTTTTTCTTTCAATGCCTCCATTAGTGGGGCAGAGGGGGACTGGGGTTCGCGGGGGCCTGGGACATGTCCCTACAATGAGGGGTGGACAGGGCAGGGAGGGCAGGGATAGATGGGAGAGCAAAAGGTGGTTGAGGGGGCATGCTATTAATCTCACCTGGAACAGTCCTGGGTTATCTGGAATAATCTAATTCCAAATATGCTGTCCCATTGTCCCGGGAAACTAGTGAAGCTTTCTGGACGTTTAAATATGGGTATGCGCTGATACCGGATTTGTCTTCCTGACACTCAGCATTCCACGTTCCACTTGCTCAGTGGGACCTGACCCCAAAGTCTGGCTACAGAGTCTTTATCTGAACAAAATCCAGCATTAAAAAAGAATTTTAAAAATTTCCCAGAATTAAAAAAAATCCATAGTAAAACAGTAATCAAATGTTATTTATTTAACATAATAGAAAATATCTAACAAAATCATTGGAACACCAGAGGTATTCTCATTCAATTTTGAATGGTCCAAGAATTATAAATATTGAAAAGGAGACAAGATTTTGATGATATAATCACCTACCTAGGAAACAAATTAAAATTGACTGGAAAACACTTAGAATGAATACGGTAATTCTGTAAAGTGACTGGCTGGAAAATAAATATCCAAAGCGTAATGCTTTTCTTATATAATAACAATAACCAGGGGTTCCCCGGGGGGCTCAGTCGGTTAAGCGTCTGCTCTCGGCTCAGGTCATGAGCCCAGCGTCCTGGGATCGAGCCCCGCGTCGGGCTCCCTGCTCGGCGGGAAGCCCTCTTTCTCCCTATCCTGCTCCCCCTGCTTGTGTACCCTCTCTAGCTGTCTCTCTGTCAAATAAATAAATAAAATCTTAAAAAAAAATAATAACAATAACCAGCTGGAAAATTAGAGGGAAGAAAGATGTGGCTCACAGAAGTTAATGTGCAGCTCCTTTACAAGGGACATGACAGACCTTGGTGGGAGGCTGGAAGAGGACCAGAGCAAAGGGGGGGCATGTTCCTGGAAGGGGAGACCCGGAGCAGTGAAACCAGCCCTACTTCCTGGAATACCATGTCCATCGAACAGAATCAGATCCTATCACCACCACCCCCGCCACCACACACACACAGGACTTTAAAATTTGGAATGTGTATTTTTAAAGTCTCTCCAGAAGAATAAATATAGGAGAGAATCTATTAATGGTTGGGGAGGGGTGGTTAGGAGAGAATTTCTTCAGCTGATTGTACGTATTACATAGTATAATCCTAAAAAGATATAGTCGTGGGACAACAGGAAGCATGCAGGTCAGTGAAACCCTAGTGATCGTGTCATACATGATGATCATGATCCTTCAAATCACGGATAATCATTTATATATTTTATATGATAATGCGGTCACTGTTAAAGTGGCGGCTGTCAGTGACTGCTTCCGCAGGGTAACACGGCTTCTCCAGTTCCTTCCAAAGCAGGTTATGGGATGGGGAAGGAAGGAGAGAACATGAAACCTCTGGGTCCCAGGAAGATGAAATGGACATCCTGGCAGGAACTCACACTCGTGTCTTCCGTTAAAAGTACTGGGTGTTATACGCAACTCATGAACCATTGAACACTACATCAAAAACTAATGATGTGTTATATGTTGGCTAATTGAATTTAAATTAAAAAAAAGAAAAGTAATCTCGGAGAGGTTCTCTTACATCCACCCGTGCTGTAAGAAGCAACCACCTCTCTCCCCTTCCTCTCAGCCATTCGCTGGGCAGCCGCAAAGCAGCAACCGTGTGTGAGTGCATCTGCATCCACACTGGCCAGGCTGGGGTCCAGATTGGCAGTGGCTGCTGGGAGCTCTGTTGCCTGGAATTCAGCCTCTAGCCCAATGGTCAGACGCCAAGTGACAAGACCACTGGGGGAGGAGATGACTCCGTCAACACCGTCTTCAGTGAGACCGGGGCTGACGGGCATGTGTCCGGGGCAGCATTTGTTACCTCCAACCCACAGTTGTTGAAGTTCACACCGGCCCCCACCACCAGCTCCTCCACCCTGCACAGCTCATCACAGGCAAGGAAGATGCTGCCAATAACTGTGCCCGAGGGCACCACACCATCGGTAAGGAGATCATTGACCTTGTCTTGGATGGAATTTAGAAACTGGCTGACAGGTGCACAGGTCTTCAGGGCTTCTTGGTTTTCCTCAGCTTTGGAGGAGGAATGGGGTCTGGGTTCACCTCCTTGCTGATGGAACCTCTCTCTGGCCATTATGGCAACAAGTCCAAGCTGGAGTTCTCCATTTACCCTCCACCCAGGTTTCCACAGCTGTAGTTGGGCCCTACAACTCCATGCTCATGACCCACACCACCCTAGAGTGCTCTGATTGTGCCTTCATGGTAGACAACGAGCCCATCTATGACGTGTAGAAACCTCCATACTGAACGCCCAACCTACACTAGCCTGAACGGGTTGATAGGTCAAATTGTGTCCTCCATCACTGCTTCCCTTAGGGTTGACGGAGCCTGGAAGTCCAGACCAGCCTGGTGCCCTGTCTCCGCATCCAATTCCCTCTGGCCCCATCTGCTGAGAAAGCCTCCCACCATCAGCCTTCTGTAGCAGAGGTCGCCAACGTGTGCTCTGAGCCAGGGAACCGGAGGGTTAAAGGGCACCCTCGCCACGACAAACACACGGCTGTGCGTCTTTCTGCAGAAAGAGAGGAATTACTTCAGTTAAAAATGTCACAAAGCGGGGTGCCTGGGTGGCTCAGTCACTTAAGCGTCTGCCTTCGGCTCAGGTCATGGTCCCGGGGTCCTGGGGTCGAGCCCCACGTCAGGCTCCCTGCTTAGTGGGAAGCCCATTTCTCCCTCTCCCTCTGCCCCTCCACCCTGCTTGTGTTCCCTCTCTCGCTGTGTCTCTCTGTCAAATAAATAAAATCTTTAAAAAAAAAAAGTGTCACAAAGCTGCTGCCTTTATGGGGAAGCTCATTCTGTTTTAAGTATTGAAAAGTTGTGCTCTGATCCGTTCATTTGTAGGTAGCAGTGTATACTCTCATATGCAATTACTGACCTATGCTTTAAAACACGACTCTGTTACAGACCCAAGCTGTCCATTTCTCTGATGGGTTTGAGTAAAGTATTCCCTGTCTTAAATGGAAAAAAAAAATCTGCTGAAAGGACCGCTGGGAAGTCATTATCGGCTCTTCGTGAACAGCAGACTGCCTCCTCGAAGGGTCCACATTTTTGCGAGCCTGAACCTGCAATGTGAAGCATCTGTATTCGAGGACCCTGAACTCTTGGCGGGGAGGGTCTCTGCCCCCGCGCGCCCTGCCGCCCTCGATCCTCGCTGTAGGATTGCAGAGACCATGGCACAGGGGCTCTCTCAGGACAAATACTACCGCAGGTAGCAGGATGAGTCCTTGCAAAGAGGCAACATTTTCAGAAAGAACTTAAAAAAATACATTTCCTGGAAATTGCCTCTGACATTTCAGGTCTGCTCCAGGGAAAACCTCTATGGAAGCTTTAAGTAATGAACTGTCATCATTTGGATAATTGCCTTTCAACCATCAATGATTATCCCACCTCGCGGACTGAATCAATTATAAAACGTAGGGGCTCTTAACCTTGAAAAGCCCACAGGGATATGCGATACGGAGCCAAATACCAAACAAGCCACTTTAAAACAACTTTCAGTAGTTGCTCCCTAGAGAAAGTTGGGAGCAGGCAGCTTTGTTGTTTGGTTTGTTTGTTAAATAAGTCTGTCCAATTTTTGAGTCTTTATTTGAGTTTTTAACGGATTTGACTCTTGCAGCAGTATTTGTGTACAATTATGGTAAAAATAAAAACGAAATAGAAGCCCCACAGGTGCCTCATTTCCCCACTTTGGCCTCCCATCTCCCAGTATTTGTTACCACGAGGTCACTGTCCCCAACAGTCAGCAGTCCCTGGCTCTTCCCGCTGCCGCCAGAGTGCCTCCTGACCCCAGCGTCACGGTGACTGGAAGGTGAGGAAGAGACAGATGGGAGCCTGGCTGCTGGCTGGTCCCCGTTCAGCTGATGGGCCCCGTGAGGGAACCACGTTTCATCGTTAAAATGATGAGTAACAATGGGAGCAAGAACCAAACCTTTAAAGAATTCTAACACGAGTTGGGCCTTAGCCCTGTGGGTGGGTGAGGATGTTGTGTTGCTGTTTTTCAAAGCTGAGCCTCCTCCAAGTTTGTCATGCAGGTTCATCATGCAGCAGCTACAGCTCCACTTCCCAACGCAGAGACCCTACAAGGACCAGGCTCCTGGCGATCTCCATCTGCTGAGTTTCCATCTCAGATTCAGCCGGTAAGGGCCACGTGGTCGTGAAGCCTGACATCAGCAAATCTGTGTCAAAACCTGAACTCTGATGCAGAAAAACTCAAGGGCAACCTGTCGGAATTGGCCAGCTAATTCCCAGCAATATTTAGGAAGTCATCTAGCACTAGGTGAGGCCCAGGACTGATCACACATACCAATCGCTTTACCCACTCCTCCAGGTTCATACAGGGTGAACGTAGATTAATAAAAATCAGCACACCTGTATGGGTCAGGGTTTCCCAGACTGATAGATGTATTTTTTTTATTTTAAGGAATTGGCTCATGTGGTGCTGGGGGCTGGCGATTCTGAAATCCAGGCCGGCTGACAGGTGGAACCTCGAGCAGAAGTTGGTGCCATCCCAGTATGTGTGTAGGGCCTGTAAGTTTGTCTGTCCCAAGCACGTCTGCAGACCCACCCAGTCAGTCTCCTTAGGTATGCTCCCGGCATTTGCTTTCAGCCCCACATTCTGGCTGTGAGAGAGGCTCCTAGGACCTCTAACCTGGCCAGACTGCTGCTCCCATCCCCCACAAAGCCGTGGCAACTCTGCCCGCACCCCCAAATCTCTCCACCACGAACAGGCAGCACATTTCTGAGCAGAAGTGTAGTGTGAGGGCCTGTCTGGACACCAGTCGTCTCAGTGTGACTTCCTTCAAAAGCAGAGCTTGAGACAAAGAACCTGCAACCAAGTAAGTGATTTGGGAACTGATCTTGAGAAGCAGGACTGATTGAACAGGAAGGAGTCTCAGAAGAAGAAGGAAAACAACATGAGTGTGTGTTATCAGGGTCACTGCCAAGGACGCCTGGTTCTGCTGGGGCCTAAAACAGGCAGGCCTGGATGGAAGGCCCTGTGCCCAGAGCGGAGTAGGTCACACAGGAGCCATTCTGAGCTCGTGGGGTCGGCCTCTGAGCTGCGCGGAGCTCCGGGTTGGGCTGGTGGGCTGCGAGGCGCCGAGGCATCGTTCTGCTGCCCCACGGGGACGTGTTTGAAGGAACAGAAGCTCGTTCAGCCTGGGGGAGAGAGCACTGGGCATGGGCCAGAGGGCCTCACATGCCGAAGGGCAGCCTGTGTTAGATACAGTGGTGGTGTGAGGGCTGGGGATTGGGGGGCAGGGGGCAGGTTCTGCGCCAGACCTTGGCCAGCCACTCCCCAGGAATATTCACATGCAAAGAAGAGTGGCAAGATAAAGGAAAATAATACTCTACGATGGGGGCCTTGATCGGTTCTCTAATCAGGTGCAGAGAATTTCTGTTAGCTGGGCTGGACCTCAGCAAGCATTCCCTTACCCTAGTTTTTTAGGCTTCTGATGAAAGGAGGCCACGAAGCCCTCCACGTCACCTTTCTGAGACCCAGCCCTAAACCTTGATTGTACCAGGCCTAGAGGCAGCCGAAACGCACAGGTTTTGGAACCAAACTCGCAGAGCTTGGGCTCGAGTCTTACCTCCACCGTATGACTAATCATATGACCGTGGGCAAGTTTCCTGGTGTCTCGTTTATAAAGCAGAGGCAGTGATAGTGCCTACCTCCTAGGCCTGGGATGAGGAATAAATGAGTTAACTCATATAAAACACTTACAACAGTATCCGGTGCATCGAAAACCCCCAAACTGTTAGTTATGCTTATTAGTACTCCCTGTAGCAGGAGGAAAGGCAGAGAGGGGGACAACGGAAGGAGGGAGGAGGAGGGGAGGGCGAGGAAGACGGGCAGGCAAGGCTAGACCAGGCGAGGCAGCTGCTGCCTAGCAACACCACCCACCACCAAGAGTGGTTATAGCCCACGTTTTGAAAAGTCTGATTGTTACTTCGCCCCTTCGGAAAAAGCAGGGTGGTGGATAGGAGAAAATCTGAGAGCTACCTCTTGCTTGGGCACCTACCCAATGGACAAGGGAACAGGCTTATTTTGCGGTGTTCCCGGGAGTTAAACCAGGCCAGTGAGGGTGAGATTTGTTCTCAGTAGCATTACCAACTGTCTAACATTTAAGTTGTTCTCGATGGGATGATGGGCGGTCCACGGGTGCTTCCATATGCTAGGAAATCAAGGATGGGTGTGCCTGAACGAGACCCGGCCCACTCTTGACATTTCCTCCCACACTCGTGAGACAGAACATGGGAAGCGGGGCAGAGAGAAGCCTGTTCTGCATATGCCACCGGACTTTTTTTGTAAATAACATTTTCTAATGTGTATTGACAGTGAGCTTGTTCTAGGTAGTTGGAAGCACTTTCAATGTGTTACTTGATCATCACATGGGCCTTGTGATGCAGGTGGTTTGTTAACAACATCTACATTTTATTTTATTTTTTTAAAGATTTTATTTATTTATTTGACACAGAAAGAGATCGAGAGAGAGGGAACACAAGCAGGGGGAGTGGGAGAGGGAGAAGCAGGCTTCCCGCTGAGCAGGGAGCCCGAGGCAGGGCTCGATCCCAGAACCCTGGGATCATGACCGGAGCCGAGGGCAGATTCCCAACGACTGAGCCACCCGGGTGCCTCATAATATCTACATTTTGGCCCCACAAAACTCATTTTAGACTTTGAACCTCCAGAACGGTTAGATAATAACTTAGTGTTGTTTTAAGCCACCATATTTATCATAATTACAGTAGCAATCGCAGACTAATACATGCTCCATCCATTTCTTTTAATTACAATGTATCTGTTAAGCTCTGGCCTTTTGACCCATGAAATTTCCTAAGGCAGGACTTTGCTGACTAGGTCCTAATGGTACAGTTGAACATTTTCCTTCGTCTTCTGGATGTGCCACGAATCGGCGGCTGAATCCAGCAGCTGGGTCAGGCTCAGATTCCATTCCTTTGGCAAACACTATAAGTGACTTGCTTTCTTTTCAGGATGTGTGTGGTTTTTGTTCTATTTCAGTTTAGCAGCAAATGATGTTCAGGTCTCTGCTCCTTTAACAAATTCATTTGGAGTTACAAGCTGGTGGTATTTGAATTCTGCAGTTTAAAAATTTTTAATAGCTATACTACTTTACAAGGTGATCCATCCCTTCATCTACTGTTTGGTTGTCTAGCGTACCATTTATATAGGAAAGACAGTAAATGCTTTTCCTTTGCTTTTGTTCACTCAGTTCTCAGGATAATGAATTGGTTGCCTGTCATCCTCAAAAGGTGATAGTTCTTATTTAAATATCATTATAGGGGCACCTGGGTGGCCCATTCGGTTAAGTGTCTGCCTTCAACTCAGGTCGTGATCCCAGGGTCCTTGGATAAAGCCTCATGTCAGGCTCCCTGCTCAGTGTGGAGCCTGCTTCTCCCTCTGCCCCTCCCTCCCCACCCCCACACTCATGCTCTCTCTCTCAAATAAATAAATAAATAAAATCTATAGAAATAAAAATAAATTAATATCATTATAAATTTATGGACTTATATTTGATGTGTTTCAATCCACTGAAATTCCTGTCTTTATTGAATCTCAAATTGTCCCACCTTTTGGCCAGTGGGAACTCCTGAGTCATTTGGACACGGCCTTAATAGTCTTTGGTAGTTCTTTGCTATTTGGTATCTTGAGATGTTCCAGACTCTTCTGGAACATTTCTTACCTCCAATCCAGAATCAGCCATTTTCCTAGAATCTCTGGTTTCTTTTAATGGAGAATGATTTTTTTTTTTTTTAAGAGAGCGAGAGCGTGAGCGGAGAGGGGCAGAGGGAGAAGGAGAGAGAGAATCTTAAGCAGGCTTCATGCTCAGTGTGGAGTCCAACAAGGGGCTCGATCTAACAATCCTGAGATCATGACCTGAGCCAAAATCAAGAGTTGGATGCTTAACCAACTGAGCCACCCAGGAATCCCAATAGAGAATGATATTTTAAGAGTACAACCTAGAGGCTATGGCTATGTATAAAAATATGAATATATATAGAGAGAGAGACAAAAATATAGAAACAATGACCAGCCAGAATGCAATGATTATCCATAGTACATCCAAATGATACATAGTACAACCAAAATGATGTACTTTTTGTTCATATATATATTTGAAACTTTACATATTTATGAATGTGTATCTATTTATGGAGATATCTACCTATCCACCATCTATCTATCTTCCTTGAGTTCATAGAGAATTTTTCAATTCAAGTTAAGAAAACAAGGTTTTTACTTAACCACTTCTATATTCCATCTGTATCTTCTTTCTTTCACACTGAGATTCTTAGTTCTCAGTGATGCGGGGAAGAATAGAATTAAAATACCCCATAACTTCTCGGGCGCCTGGGTGGCTCAGTTGGTTAAGCGACTGCCTTCGGCTCAGGTCATGATCCCGGAGACCTGGGATTGAGTCCCACATCGGGCTCCCAGCTCGGCGGGGAGCCTGCTTCTCCCTCTGACCCTATCCCCTCTCATGCTGTTTCTCTCTCTCTCTTTCTCTCAAATAAATAAATAAAATCTTTAAAAAAAAATACCCCATAACTTCTCATTTGCTTCATCCCACATGACACATACTATGGTCTCAGAGCAACAATACTAATCCTAGCACATTGATTATGATTACTGAAAACACTTAACAAGTTTGTCTGCCTATGTTATCCCCATTCTCCCTTTAGTTGTTGATTTATTTTGTTGACTTATTTTGTTATGATTTACGTCATCAGATCACATAGTCATCACATACTACAATCTCTGCTTTTAAACCCTCTCTTAGTTTTACGAGTAACTATATATTTAATGCTAAGCAGCCGTCCCTGTGCTGATGTTTGCCGACATTTAGTTGTCTAAAGTTCATTCTCTACTAAATTCCTTACAAAGAGCTCATGGGAACACTATTTCCTGAGTTCTTCATGCTCACCAGAATGTGTGCTCTTTATACTGAAAAGTATTTTACTGTTTTAAAATCCACAGTCCCCATCTTTCCTTGAGTACCCAAAATACATTGTTCTTGTGGCATAGAGCATTGCTGTTGAAAAGCCCAATGATAAGCCTATACTCCTTACAAGTCACTTTCTCTTTTTTATCAAGATACTCAAGGTGCATTTTCTCTTTTTCCCTAAAGTCCTGTACTTTTCCTAGAATATGCTTCGGCATTGATTTTCATAGATAACTATTCCCAGATGGTACAGTGTGTTTTCTTTCAATATGTAGTTTAAATCTTTGTAATTTGAGAAACGTTCTCTTGAATTATAGTTGTTAGTACCTGGTCTGATCCCTTGCTTTCGATTTTCTACTTTAAGGACGCCTGTTCTCATGTGTTGGATCTTCTTCTTCTATCTTCGATATTTTCACACTCTCAAATACGTTTACCTTTTTCTTATCCTTTCTGGATTCTGGAAATTTTTTCTCCCTTTCCCTTCTACTTTTCTTGTCATTGTTTGTTGTGGTTTTTTTTTTTTTTAATTTTTATTTATTTTTTATTATTAACATATAATGTATTATTTGTTTCAGGAGTACAGATCTGTGATTCATCAGTCTTACACAACACACAGCGTTCACCATAGCACATACCGTCCCCAATGTCCATCACCCATCCACCCCATCCCTCCCACCCCCCTCCCCTCCAACAACCCTCAAATTTGTTTTCTGAGATTAAGAGTCTTTTATGGTTTGTCTCCCTCTCTGGTTTTGTCTTGTTTCATTTTTCCCTCCCTTCCTCTATGATCCTCTGTCTTGCTTCTCAAATTCCACATATCAGTGAGAACATATGATAACTGTCTTTCTCTGGTTGACTTATTTCACGTAGCATAATGACGCAAATGGTAAGATTTCATCCTTTCTGATGGCTGAGTAATATTCCATTGTATATATATATACACTACATCTTTATCTACTCATCTGTTGATGGACATCTGGGCTCTTTCTATAGTTTGGCTGTTGTGGACGTTGCTGCTATAAACATTGGGGTGCAGGTGCCCCTTAGGATCACTACATTTGTGTCTTTGGGGTAAATACCCAATAGTGCAATTGTTGGCTCATAGGGTAGCTCTATTTTCAACTTTCTGAGGAACCTCCATACTGTTTTCCAGAGTGGCTGCACCACCTTGCATTCTTGTGTTCCTTCTGGTTCAGTCTTCACTTCTAAGATTTGTTCCTTCTGTTTTAGTTCTTTTTTATTTCTGTCAGTTCAACTCTGAGATTTTTCTGATTGTGACTTACGCCATTCTTTCTCATCTTGTGTCATTTTCTTAATGTTTCTTAGCTTTTTCTGAAGTACCTTCTAAGATAGCCTCCAAGAGACCAGCCGCCTGGTGTACATCCTGTGGACAGGACCTGTGACTATAAGAGATTTCGTTCCCATGATTAGGCTACATTTTATGGCAAAAGCGAGAGGATTTTTCAGTTGTGATTAAGATTCCTAATCAGTTGGCTTTAAGTTAATCAAGGTGAAGTATCCTGGGTGAGCCTGACCTAATCAGGAGACTTGTTTAAATGAGAGTCTAAAGGTCAGAGACAGAAAAGTCAGAGAAATTCAAAGTAGCAGAGATACTCTCCTGTTGGTCTTGAAAATGCAAGCTGCTCTGTTTTGGAGAGGGCCATGTCACTGGGGACAAGAGACGACCTCTAGCAGCTGAGGGTCTGAGTCCTACAACCACAAGGAACTAAACCCAGCCAACACCAGTGAGCTTAGAAAAGGACCTCAACCCTCAGGTAGGAACACAGTCCCAGCTAACACCTTGATTTCAGCTTCATGAGACTCCAGGCAGAGGACCCAGCTAGTCTGTGCTTGAACTCCTGGCCTATGGAAACTGCAAGATAATAAATATCTTTTAAGCTACTAAGTTCATAATTCATTATGCCACAATAGAAAATGAACACGGTGCATTATAGTTTCTCCCTGTTCAATGTGCATGTCTTTCCAGCATGCTTTCATTGTGTGGATTGTATGTCATTCTATTTCTCTTCATCTTTTTCTAAATAGTAACTTTGTATGAGATTTGACCTTGATATTTTGTGCTATTGATTTTTATATGAAGTTAGTTTTCCTGAACTTTTATAAGAAGGCTTGGTTCTAATAGCTTTTTTTTTTCAAGCTTAACAAAGATCCTTCTGTTGTTTTCATGTAACAGCTTGCTTGATGACATTTATTGGCTTAGTTCTCAGTTATCTGGACGTTCTCTTTTCTTCACTTCAGTTATCCCCATTTTCCTCAATCTTGATTTTACTCCAAGTAGTTTCTCCATAGTGTGGGGCCTCAATCAGGAAGGGAACCTTGCTGGGCCAATTTCAAGCATTTATAAGGTTGGACTGATCCAGCCTTTGAGGTTTTCCTGCAGGACCTTCGTATGCTCTCTCTCTCTATTGAAATGGGCAAACCTCTCCTTGTTTCAGTCATTGTCCACAAATTGGTCTGCTGGCTTCTACCTGTTGTTCTATTAGATGCCCCGTGACTTCCCTGAGTTCTCCCACACAGATGTTAGTACCGTGCAGGTCTCATGTCTGTAGTGGTTTGTCCCACCTGCTTTTATTTGGGCGTTAATGGAGATGCCTTCACAGCTAATTATCCTGTACATGTTGTGCATGAGTTTTTGTTTTTTCTATCTAGTTGTTCTGTTTTTATTTGGGGAATTGGGAGGACCCAAAGACGATGCTGCAACCCCTACTATGCATCGCCTAGGAATTCTCCTGCTATCTCCTTTTTATGGCCTGAGAAGGCTGAATTCCCAGGGAGATTAACTAATTTGCTTTAAGTCACACGACTAGTAAGTGGGAAAACTAGCATTTGAACCTGGTCCAAATTTCAGAGTTCTTATTTTTTTCTCACTACATTTTGTTTAAAAACTTCTTTACTATAACAATTCCCAGCGTTAAAACTTAATGATTTCCCATTACCTAAACCAACCAGTCTAAAGACCCCCAACATTCAAGCCCCACCCTGCCTGTCCACCCTCACCACCTCTCCCCAAAGCACGCCCCCCGGTTCTGCCCCCAAAGCTATCTCTATTCCCTCCCTGATCCCTTACTGCTCTTTAACTCATCCGTTACCTCTCCAAATCTAGTCCCCCTCTAATCAATTACTGGCAACTCTAGTAATTTTTGTTTGTTTATTCATGATTTGTGGGGGAGGGTATTTTAAGGTATTAACCTATGCTTTTCTATTCCTCCGTGTATTCATTTCCTAGGGCTGCTGTAACAAAGCAGCATGAACTGGATGACTGAAATGCATTGTTTTATAGTTGTGAAGCCTAGAGGTCCAAACTCAGCATATCAGCAGGGCTATCCTCTCCCTGAACCTTTAGAAGAATCCTTCCTTGCCTCTTCCCAGCTCCTGGTGCTCTGCCAACGATCTTTGGCATCCTTTGGCTCACGGATGCATTACCCCAGTCCTCTGTGCTCGCATGCTGTTCTCCCTGTGTAGCTCTGTTTTCACATGGCCATCTTCCTATACGGACACCAATCAGATGGGATCAGGGGTCCACCCTACTCCAGGATAACTTCGTCTAAACTAGTTACATCTAAAATGACCCTGTTTCCAAATAAAGTCACCATTTGAGGTACTAGGGGTTGGGACTTCAACACGTCTTTTTCAGGGGGGACACACTTTGACCCCCAACACTTTCCTTCCCATTTCCTTTCTCCCATTTGAGCAGATCATCGTTTTTGTTTTTTGCTTCAGGAGGAACGGCAGAGAGTGGCAAGAACTGTGTCTATGGTGTGGGCTCTCATACATTCAGAACCTACTTCTGTGCTGTCCTCTGAAGGCGCCTCCATTCATCAGACGATCGTAAGACTTTTTTAAATCACCTTCCGCCTGCAAAACCTGTGCGGGGACCTGCAGGGAATCTGAAGAAGCATCTCTTTCATCCAACTTAAGACACAGTTGATTGTGTGGCACACCATTATTTTAGGTACTTCCAAGAAAGAAACACCCTGACAAACTGGGATGTATATCAATTTTTAAAGTGTATCCCAATTTCAGAGTTGTCACAGTGCCAAAAAAGGCATGTCTTAGAACTGGTGAAATAATGCATCATGCACCATGTCTCTTTTAAACAGCGATAGGCGTGGTGGAGAGAAAACACACGTGCACATACTTGCATACACAGGCACATGCACACATGTGTGCATACACACACATGTGCACACGCACCTGGCTGAGTACGAAAGGAGCTGCAGGGACTCCAGTGTCTTCAGAGCTGAGACCGGAGGTGGTTGCTCTTTGGGTGGATCTTGAGGTGTAGATGGGACGCGTATCATCCAGGTGGAGCTGAGGAGAGCCATCGAGAGGAGAGGAAACCTGTAACACGGGGAGCCCAGGTGTGTAAAAGGTAGAGAGGTGTCCAAGAGGGAGAAACGGGAAATGATTCATTGGATCGCACGTATATCACCTGTCCATACTGGTGACAGTTGGGAATTGGGGAAAGGATGTTGGGTTTGAGCAGATTGTGGTCGTGAAGCCCAGGACTTAGAGAGAAGGAAGTGGGCGCACCAGCGACCCTCAGTAGGGAAGGCAATCTTATTTCCAGATTATAGTCCTCCCTAAAGAGTTTGGATTTTATGCTTTAAGCAATGGGGAGCCATAGAAAGTTTTGGAGCAGAGAGGAGCACGCCAAGCAATGTTTGGGGATTATTAATCTGGTAGCAGGCAGAATATATAGAAGGCAGTTAGGGGACCTGTTTAAGAGATGACCTCAGAGGTCCAGGTAGCAGCAAAGGGAATAGTGGTGTGAAATGAAAAGGAAGGGACAAAGGGAAACTTGTGCAGAAAAATAAAGAAGCAGGACTTGTTTAGGAAGAGGGGTGCATCAAGACTGTATCTCAGTATTGGTGCGTGGACAGCTAACAATGCATTGCCAGAGTGAGGGACTCCTCAGGCCCTATTTACCTCCACAAGCCTTCCTGATCAACACAAAAGTAAGCCCCACACATACCAGGTGAAGTGCCCATGGGCACCCCAGGCTGAAATCAAATTATGGTTGCCATAGTTTTCTATAAAGTGATTCTAGTGACACATCTTTGGTGAGACAATCAGGGGAGTGAGAGTACATCCTGTCATTGTAAGCACCTGAGACATTTCACAGTCTCATATGATTTTATGACCTGCCTGTGTAGTAAAGCAAGGGCAAGTTTTACTCTATGTGCATCGAAAAATCAGATGACCTTTATAGAAACCGCATAAGCCAGAAACAAACCTGGGAATAAATCCAAGGTTTCCTGATGCAATATTTTTATCTACACGTGTATGTTTGCTCTACCTTCAGTAAAATAGAACAGAGCACTGTGTAAACATTAAGCACCCTGTAAATTCTAGGTAGTAACGCAGGGGAGAGAGTCTATTCGCAGAGTGAGAATTAACCCTGTGGAGGGATTCTATGTCCGTCCCTAATGCTGTGGGCAAGGGATGGACTGGATGTGCTGTGGGCAGAGCTGGCCACCAGATGTGTCAGGGATGCCCTTGACTGCATACAGATCCTAGATTTTATCTCACTGGTGTTGGAGGCCCTCAGAGGAAACATTTCTTTTTGAAGGCCAAGGTCCAGGGAAAACCCTGTATAAGTAGACTCTTTTTCCTTCTTGTTCTTCAAATGGAACTGTATGTTCAGAGAGTAAGTCCAGTCCCATAGTATCTGTTCTATGGACTCTGTCCCTCGGTGAACAAATAAATGTGGAGAACCTTCCATCTAACAGAGCTCAGGCCCTGGTCAAAGGAGCAAAGATGTCACAGAAACAAAGCTCAGTCTCTGTCCTCAAGAAGCATCCATCATTCCAGTAGAGGGAGGGTGACCGAAGGAAGTAGACAAGAAAAGATGATCATTTCAGGTGCAGCCAGGGGCTACAAGGAAGACAAAACAGCAACGTGGCACAGAATGGCTGCTTCAGCTGCGGAGCTCAGGCAGAGCCTCCAGTGAGGAGGGGGGATCCAGCAATGACCTGGGGGAAGCTTTCAAAGCAGAACAATGTCGGAGCCAGCTTAGTCTAGCCAAGAGACAATATGATAGTGGGGAGGGCAGGAAGTAGCAGTGCGTGGCCTGACATCCTTCATCAAGAGTATGCCTTTTAGGGCGCCTGGGTGGCTCAGTTGGTTAAACGTCTGCCTTCGGCTCAGGTCATGATCCCAGGGTCCTGGGATTGAGTCCTGCGTCGGGCTCTCTGCTCAGCGGAGAGCCTGCTTCTCCCTCACACTCTCCCTCTGTGCTTTCTCTCTCTCTCTCTCTCTCAAATAAATAAATAAAATCTTAAAAACAAAAAATAAAAATTAAAAAAAAAATAAAATAAAATAAAAAGAGTGTGCCTTTTACCATAAGAATATTGGGAACAGCAAAATTCTGTAAATCAATTGCCCCAACAGCTATATGTGGGTGCCCTATATATGCAGGGTAAGCGCAGTAGCTGAGACGCAGAAAATGGTCGAGGTCAGGGATGATGGTCCAGGTGAGGGGTGGTGGTCCAGGTCAAGAATGATGGTCCAGGTGAAGGATGATGGTTAACATGGAAGAGATGGTTCATGTGAGGGATAATTTTCATAAACCTGGATTCAGGTTTTAGCATCAAAGGTGGCAGAGCTAAGATATGGAGAGCTTATTAAGTTTTGGCTGAGAAATTGCATGGGTTTCATATACTGAGTAGGGAGAAGACTTGTGGGGAGCAGATTTGCGGGCATTCCATAGCTCTCTCTTGGCCATGTTACGTTTGAGACACCTTTTGACATCCAAGAGGTGACTCGGAGCAGACAGTCAGATGGTCCTCATGGGACTCAGATCCCAGGCCAGGACTGGAGTTAGATAGTGCAGAGCCATGCAGGCAGAGATGGTAGATGGAGTCATGGGACTGGCTAGGATGGCGGTATTCGTTTCCTAGGGCTGCTATAACCAAGTGCCACAAACTGCACAGCTTCAGACAACAGAAATTTATTCCCTGACTGTTCTGGAGGCCCGAAGGCTGAATCGAGGTGTCAGCAGAGCTGTGCTTCCTCTGAAAGGCCTACTGCGGAATCCTTCCTGGCCTCTTCCAGCTTCAGGCCAATTTTTTGTGTCACTGGCGTCCTTGGCTTGCAGCTAGCTGCATGACCAATGGTAATTCCTAGTGCTGCCAGAGGCATTCTTCCTCAAGACTGTGTCCCAGTCTCCCTCTCCTTGCGCGGACCCCAGACATCGGACCGGGGCCCACCCTCCTTCCGTATGACCTCATCTTCACAGGATTGCATCTGCCAAGACCCTATTTCCGAATAAGGCCACCTTTCCGGGTTCCAGATAGACATGTGGGGACACTAGGCAACGCAGTGCAGTTACCTAGAAAAAGAGTGTAGACGGACAAGAAGGCGGCTCAGGACAGAACTTCAGGGTCCCGAGAGAGGAGAGAACATGGGTGCAGGCTCAGGCTGTGTCTCCTGTCTAGAGAGGCATACCATGAGGTATCAACCACGTGGCACACTGCTGGTGGTTATGGAGACTAACCAGTTTCACCTGGTTAACTAGCTTGGGGATGGAGGGCAGATTGACTTTTGGCTTTGGGGATGTGGAAATAGTGGGCAACTTTTAAAAAGACTCTTCTGTGAAACGATAGGGCCACGACATGATTATGTTGGGTTGAAGACAGAGTGAGGATGCTGAAACTATAAAAACAGTAAGTAGAGACATCTTTTTCTGTGAAAAAAAGGGAGCACAGACATGGGGCGAGGGACAGTTGAAAAGACGTGTGGAATGGCGGCTTGCTGGCATGCAGGTGGTGTCCAGCAGAGTCTAGTAGCGGGGGAGAAGCTGATCATGCAGAGGAGAGAAGGGGTTCCATCTGAAGTGAAGTCCTTGACCTTGTGAGGGACTGGAGTTTTGCACACAGAAATGGGCCAATCATAGTAATAGGAGGGAGGGCAACGTTTCTCGGTACCCATTCAGGGACATCAGTGGGCCCAGTGTTGGGAAGACAGTGAGCTCTCATTGGATCACACGTATATCACCTGTCCATATGGGTAACAGTTGGGAATTGGGGAAAGGATGTTGGGTTTGAGCAGAGTGTGGTCGTGAAGTCCAGGACTTAGAGAGAAGGAAGTGGGCGCACCAGCGACCCTCAGTAGGTGGTCAGGCTGTGTCGGGGCCCATTCAGAATCGGAGTGTATTCTGTAGTCTCTTCAGTGATGAGCAGCAACTCGGACAGATGTAGGGTGAGGCCATGGTTGAGTTTGGTCATAGTTAGGGTGCTGGCAGAGGAAAAATGAGAAAGGGAGATTAGGGTGCTCCTGAAGGAACAGTTACGGTGAGATGTGGGCTTGGTGAGGCAGGAGTGGGAGCCTGGGAGATTCTGGCAAGTGGACAGATGTAGGGCTGTGGATTGGAAGTCCATTTGGGGAGGAGAGCTGTGGACACAGGAGCACAGAGCAAGTGAGCTGTGATGAAAAAGGTGTGTTTGAGGGGCCCCTGGGTGGCACAGTTGGTTGAGTGTCCAACTCTTGATTTCGGCTCAGATCGTGGTCTCAGGGTTCTGGGATCGAGCCCCTCGTCAGGCTCCGCACGCAGGGGGAAGTGGGCTTGGGATTCTCCCTCTCCCTCTCTCTCAAATAAATAGATCTTTAAGAAAAAAGTTGTGTTTGAGATTGAGCTTTTGGAAGTGGTACAGTGTTTGGTTGTGACAGAGTCTAGTGTTTGGCCATATGTGTGGATAGAGCTGAGGAGGCAGGGAACCAGGAGGCGAGCCAGAGTGTAGGGATCCAATAGGAATATGCTAATGCAAGAAAAAAATATGGCTTATTTGATTTTTTTCCCCTCCATGAGGGGAAATAAAAGGCAAAGGAAAGAAAGTCAACATTCAGTGCCAGGAACTGAGGGGCCAAAAACCCAGAGAAAAGGGGTCTCTAGGGAAGCAAGCAGTCTTTCCCACCTCCAGGCTTCAGGGCATTTGTAAATCCTAACTGCACGGGGGTGAGGCCCAGAAACCAAGCGGAGAGCGGCCACACAGAGGCGGGGCAGACTTGCTAGTGGTCTCGCACAACTGGGGGACATAAAGCCAGAGTTCTGTGCCGGCCAGGGAGGAGGGCCCAGGAAGCACCTCAGCTTACTTGGAGAATGGAAACACTGGAAATAGACTAACGTGAAAGCCCGAAATGCAGTTTGAGGTGGAAATGGCGTTGGGAAGGAAGGAACCAGACGTTAACAGAGGGAAACAGTTAACAGAACAGGGGTCCCAGTAAAAGGGGTCCCCTCAAAATAAAGCCAATGAGAATTTGCTCCTAGCTTAATATTTCTGAGGCCCTGGGAACAAATTTTCACTTGTTTTACCTGATCATTAATCTCGCAATATAAAAACAGTTCACTGGATAAGATTTCCTCAAGTGAATCAGGGTTTTCCAAGAGATGGATTTACTAAACATTGAACAATGAAGTATTTGTAGAAATTAGAGGTGAACGTGACAGATGTGTTTGTCTTGGCAAAGGGGCATCTTCAGTCACAACTCCACTCCCGTCTCCTTCTGGTGACTCGTCTTTTGTGTCTTTCCATCATAATCTTAGACTTTCCTTGATCAAGAACTCAGATTGACAATCTTTTTGTGTGTGCATGCCTCTCTTTTTTCCTCCCTCTATGCAATTGGCGGACAAGATCTCTGGTAATCGTGGCTCCTGAGAAAGGGGAGATGTTAATACTGACAAGGTTGCAAGGATTAGAAATGGGGTGACCCCTGTAAGGACCCTAGTGTTCCCGTCTTGCAGCAGGAACTGAGAGACACCAATATATTACAGAGATATATTACCTGACTTGCTCTTAAAACCCGGGAAGTATGGGAGCCGAGAGTTGAAGCCCAGCCCTCGCCTGTGTATCCGGCTGCCTCCTCCCCATGATGGGGTGGCCCGGGCTGTTGCATTCATCAGCACCCCTGGCGGTCATCAAAGATGAGAGGGATTCTGACATGGTGCCCGTACTCAGCCTTCACTTTGCTGGCTTGTCATTCTTTCTTTTTTTTTTTTTTTTCGGTCCAGCAAATATTTACTGAGGAATGAATACTCTGTGCTCGGAGCTGACGCTTCGAAGATGAGACACCCAAGGAGGTCACAGCCTAGGACAGAGGCAGACAGACAGCAAACAGTCACCCACAGAGTGGTGATGCCAAGCCGCTCCGCAACAGACCCATAACCAAACCTCTGGGCATCTGGGTGAAGTGCTGGAAAGAGCCCAAAGGCTAAATAAGGGCTCAATGCCATGGCCAGGTAATAGGATGCTCATCGGCCATTTAAAATACCGTTCCTGGAGGCCTGAGAAAAATGTTCACAACACGAGGCCCAGTGAAAAAGGCAGACTTCAAAACTGAATCTGAGGTCTGATACCCATGATATTGTTTTATAAACCAAAATCCTTCTAGAGGTTAGCTGACTACCTTCTGTTTGCCACCCCAAGATCCACTCTCCACCTTTCTCCACCTGCTCCGCGCCCTGGCTACTGACTTGTGCGGCCTCTGGCTTCCGTTGGCTTTGACCAGAGGGAGGCTCTGGATGGAGGGAGGAGAGCGAAGTCGGGAATCTGCTCCTCCTGCTCCTTCGCTGCCGCTGGCCTTAGTCTGGCTGGTCTCCTGCCCCCACCAAGGTTCCTGCAGGTTCTAGTAACTAGTGCCCTGTACCTCCTCAGGCCTAGGGAGGAAAGGGGCCTTGCTGTTAGCAACTCCAGGGTTCTGCATCACCTTGGGGGCTTCTCTACATCCTGCCCACACCCTTATAAATGGGCCCGTGTTTAATCTCTTCCCAAAGACCTAAGTTGTGGTGCCAACCCATTTGTGGGATTGTGAACCATTGTGTTGTTCTCTCGTGTGATTTGCTAGTTTTCTATAATAGTCACCTTTTGGGGCATCTAGTGAAATCATGACTCCTCATTTCCTCTGAGAATCATCTATCCAATCGCAAGGGTGGACCCATAACTGGTTAGTCTGGAGTAGAGACCAGAGACCAGCTGGGCCCGCCAGATGCTCTTTCCTGGAAGGTCCAGTCGGGACTGGAGAAAGCCTGCCCCATCTTGGTGGAGAGATATCCTATGAACAAAGAAAGAGGAGTTAAAGAAAGAAATAGGACACGAAATGGCCCTTGACCCTGGAAAATAGTTGGTTGAATAGAACCCCAGTTCTAGCCCCTTCCTAAGTCCTGGCATCACGGCATCTTGACACCTGTGACACTCAGCCCTAAGGCCTTGTAATAACCGCCCCCCCGACCTTTTAACATAAATCAGCTTGAATGAACTCAACCAAATGACTCCTGAGTAATACACTCATGAATTACTCTCACAATTAGAAAATATGAGATATATTTTTATTTTTTTAAACTTTTTACTTTGAAATAATTATAGACTCACAGGAAGTAGCAAGAATAGTGCCCAAAGGCTCACATATGCTCCACACCCAGCATCCTCCCATGGTGGATCCTCTATGGCTCTAGGACAATATAGAAACCAGGAGATGGATGCTGCTGCACGGTTGGTAACCTGACTGCAGACATCAGTTCTCAGCATGTTAAAATCTGCACCTGCCTGTATGGATGTATGTGCAGTTCTATGCAGTTTTATCCCAAGAACAGACTCATACGTCCACCACCATCATCGAGATAGAGAACTGTCCTGTCATCAGAACAGAACCCCCTTAAGCTGTCTTTTTGTATTGCACTCACTCCTTAGGGCCACGCCCTGGAAACCACTGATCTCTTCTCCATGTCTATACTTTTAGTTTGAGAATGTTGTATAATGAAATTACATAGTATTGGTAATTCTTTGTGGAGATTGACTTCTTTTTACTAAACATAATGCCTTTCTGGTCCGTCAAACTTGCTGTGCCTACCAGTAGTTCAATCCTTATTACGGAGGAATATTCCACTATGCAAATGTCCCAGAGCTTATCCAACCATTCACCCGTAAAAGAACATTGGGTTGTTTCCAGTATTTTGCTATTATGAATTAAGCTGCTATGAACCTTCACATATAAGTTCTGGTGTGAACATAAATTTTAATGTCTCATGGATGAATGCCTAAGGTCATATGGTAAGTGCATGTTTGGTTTGGTCAGAAACTGTTAAACTATTTTCCAGACTGGCCATTTGGTCCTGGTAATTCGTGGCTACCATTTGGCATTCCCACCAGCAATGGATGAGAGATCCAGTTCCTCATTCCTGTTTCTCTTTTTGGATCTTCTTGTGGGTTACTTGAACTTCTTTAGAATTCCATTTTATCTCCAGTGTTTTGGAATACTGAAAGACAGCCAAGTGGAGATGTAGCGTAAGGGCAGGCAGCTGGGTGTGCCAGCCTGGAAAGCAGAAAAGAGCGTGGGTATCCATGTACACAATGTCCTTGGCATCTGGACGTGTTTAAAATCATGGGAAAGATGAGGCCGCCCAAGGAGAGAGAAGGCTCAAGCTGGGCCCTGAGTGAGCCAAGTGGTCACGTTAGGGAGATGAGGAGGGGGGCCAGCAAAGGACCCTGTAGAAGGAGCTCCTAGAGCATCAAAGGAAGACCTCCTCGGTGGTGTTCATCAGAGATGCGCTTAGAACTTTTTCAACCAAATTAAGGCAATTGTAGATACATACTGTTCTGCCATCACTTTTACAATTTGCTGTTTTGAGAATATTCTTCCTTGTCATTAAAGATGCTTTTACAACTTAATTTTTAACAATTGCATAGTTTTCCATTTTAGGGTTGTATCATGATTTATGTTTTTTGAAAGTTTCTTCTAGAATCTTGTCCAGGGTCAAAATCAAATGTACTGGCCTCTATTTTCTGGAAGTAGCTTCTGCTTTTCAGAGCTCAGGACTATTGTTGCTTCTGCTGTTTCCCACATTCTTTCAAGCACATCAGACATTCACCAATGTCTTCCATATACTTTTCTAGCCCTCCAGAATTTAGTATGTTCAAAGTCCCGTGATCTCTCCCATAAAACTTAAGATGCAGTGCTAGATCCGTGCCACCTATTAATCCTCATGATATCATGTTTAACCTTCTGAGCAACCTGTGTGCTTGTTTTTGTCATCCCCTCTTAGAGACGAGGACACAAGCTCAGAGGGTGTGTGTGGTTCCCTCCCGTTACAGCAGCTGGGCAGGGCAAACCTCAGGTCTCCTGACCCAAAGTCTAATGCATAGTGCAGCCTCTCTCTGGCCACTGTTGGTTCTGCCCTCCATGCTTTGGAGACCATGATCCCTGATAGAATAGAGACCAAATGAGTTCAGCAGCTCTGTGTTTTCATCTGTTAAATTTCACCGTCTGTCTCGGGGAGAGGGGGGGGCTCTTTCTTGTTTCTCTGAGCATAACTAAAATCTATTTTGAAAGTTGACCCAACATCACCTGGGAACCTTAGTGCTCGGTGGCTGTTTGCTTTCTTGACACTGGTTTTTCCTCTACCCCTCCTTCATGACCAGTCTAACAGGAATCGGGAATGTAGGTTTGAAGTTAGGCTGACCTGAGTTTGAATCCTGAATCTTGGCAGGAGCTGCGTGAACTCAAGTGACCACATCCATCTGTACCTTGGTTCCTTGGGTGGACACCGTCTTCCCATTTCCCATGCCCTGTGTGGTCCTCCCACTCCACTTCAGGGACCCACTTAGGAGCAGAAAACAGCAGGAGTGGTGCTGTGCTGTTCCAACTCTAAGCCAGAGGAAGACCTGGTGGCCTCCTCTTTTATGCTTTGGGGAGCTCTGAGCCATCATGGAAGAGGTCAGGTTGCCTACTAGCAAGCCCATGAGAAGAATCTACATGGAGAGGCAGGGAGAAGAGAAAGAGGCCCTGCCACCCCAGAATCCCAGCTCAGCCTGGCCTTCCAGCTGTGCATGCCGGGGGCCCCAGCCCCAATGGGCCAGCCAGGCCAGCCCCCAGGTGGGACAGAATGCCCAGCTGAGTCTAGTCAACCCACAGAATTATGACACCTGATTGAATAGCCATTGTTTTAAGCCACTGAACGTTGGGATGATTCTTGAGACATTAATTGTCCACACTAATTGTGAAGTATTAATTAATACAGTGCTTAGCACAATGCCTAGCACACAAGAGCTTAATAGATGAGAGCAACTCTTATTTGACTTTGTCAAGGCCCCAGGTGGTTTGAGAGCTCCTTTGAGACTAACCTCTTGAACACATGCTTTTGACAAATAGATCTTGAGGAGCTATCTGAATCACTGAAGATACAGTAATCTGAGCCATCAGCACCACAACCAGGTAGAATTACCCTCCATTCACTCTCTACCTGGAGATAATAAATTGGCAGCCAGGGGGGTAAAGGCAGATCAGGGGCTGAACCCACTGCCATGATGGTGTCTTGGTTTTTGAAATCTCTGTTGCCTTTAATCAGTCCATGCTAAGGCTACCCTGGCTTGGTGTCCTAGAGACAGGAGCTTCTTGTAGGCTCTGGGCCACTAGGAAGGTGACCTTCCCTTGTGAGACAGGCAGTCCTTCTCTGGAGGACCTGGGAAGATGCGGTTTGCTTTGATGTACAGGGCAAATAGGGTGGAGGGTCTACAGTCTTCATCCAATCTCTTTGTCTCATACAGCATTCCTACTTCCATTGGTTAATTTTTCCATATCCTACAGGTCTGGACAAGAGAGAGGGTGGAACTGGGGTGCCTAATCCAGCTTAGGCTGCTCAAGGAATAATGACAGGTGAAAACTTGCCCTGTCTTAGTCCACTTGAGCTGCTATAACAGAATATTATAGACTGAGTGGCTTATAAACAACAGAAATTTCTTTCTCATAGTTCTGGAGGCTAGAAGTCCAAAATCAAGGCACCAGCCCATTCAGTGTCTGGTGCATGCCCATTGCCTGGTGTGTCCTCCCACAGTAGAAAGGCAGAGGGAGCTCTCTGGGGTCTGTTTTAGAAGGGCACTAATCCCATTCATGAGGGGTCCACCCTCATGACCTAATCATTCCCAAATGCTCTATGTCCATATACCATCACATTGGGATAAAGTTAGTGCCAGAGAAATACTGAAATCTACATTCAAGAGGCATCTAATTTAATATTGCCGACTCAGTTTCAACATATAAATTTTGGAGGGACACAAATATTCAGTGTGTAGCACACCCCAACGAGGACATTGGGGTGCTGATCTCTATGCATCGATGACCCTGGACTTGTCCCCTGACACACAGGGGTCAGGATAAGTCATGCTGTAGTCATATTCAATTATTTTATAATTAATAAGCTAAAACTCTTCCTTCACAATGATAATCTGCAGTTGAAAGCCATTTTCATACACAAGGTGTCACTTTTTTTTAAGGTGTAAGTACATTGAGACTTTGATGCATGCTGGTGGAGGAATGGGCTATTTTCCTTTTCCACGAGCTCACAAGAAAAGAGCAGCTCAGACACAAAGACCAAGGTTGTTATGCTTGTCATAGGCACCCACACTTCCTGGAATGTCCTTTCTTAGTGACCTGGGAGCTGGGGGAGCAGATGTTTCACAAGGAGATTCCAATGAGCAAATACCACTGGAGTTCAAGGCCCCAAACGGGGTGTCGGCTGTGGGATATTCACTGCAATGGCTAGAACAAGGGGGCATGTGGGCCAGGAGCTGGGATGGCGTGTGAGGTCGGAGCAGGCTGCAGAGGTCTTCCTGGGTGATTCTAAAACTTTAGATCTTTATCCTGCAGTCCAAGGGAGGCAACGAGGTTGGAAGCAGGTGAGTGACATTATTTACTTTGTTTATAGGAGAAGAAAACCAATTCAGTTTGTTAAGTTCAAGATGCCTGACGTCAAGAACATAGGAAGTTGAAGAGATGGGCATGGAAGGTGAGGGAATGAAAGATACTGGGATTTGGGGCTGGATTCATTAGCGTAGATATGGTGAGTGATGTGAGGATAGGAGATTAAGGGGAAAGTAGCTAAAGCAAAGACAGCAGATGTGTAGCATGCGTGTCCCCACCTCCCTTCCCCTGCCTGTAGCAGGCCTTGCTGATCGATCACAGCACTCTCTCTTGCAGAGCCCAGTGCTGCGGAAGTCAAAGGAAAAGGATTTCTAGAAGATAGGCTGGTCAACAGAGTCAAATGCTTACTCGGTAAGATCAAACAGGATGTAGACCAAAAACGGCTGGGGGGTTGACATGCAGGAAGGCACTGGAAGTTTCTTACCTCTCTTACAGAAACTGTTTTCTGTTGTTTTAGCTTTATGTTTATATTTTCTTTGATAAAAGTAAACTTGCAGAATTTGAAAATAATATTCACCTATAATTCCACCATGATTGGTAACATTTGGATGCATGTATTTCCAGTCTTTTTTCCGACAAGTGTACAGCTAATATCATTACATACGTGCAGTCATACTGTAGACACAGTTTGTGTCCTGAGTTTTCACTTAATATCATTTCCTATTATTTACTTATCTTCTCTCTTCATGGTTCTAAATGTGGGCATTTTCCAGATTTAGCCATTATAAATAATGGCTTTAATAAACTCTTTTTAACGGGCGCCTGGGTGGCTCAGTTGATTAAGCATCTGCCTTTGGCTCAGGTCCTGATCCCGGGGTCCTGGGATAGAGCTCCAGGTTGGATTCCCTGCTCAACGGGGAGTCTGCTTCTCCCTTTCCCTTTACCCCTACACCCCCCACCCCTCATGCTCTCTCTCTCTTGCTCTCCCTCTCTCTCAAGTAAATAAATCTTTTAAAAAATTAAAAAATAAACTCTTTTTAAAACAATCTTTTAAAAAAATTTCAATATTTCCTTAAGATCAATTTCTAGAAGTGGCCAAAATACTTAAAGATTTTAAGACTCCTGATATAGGGCGCCTGGGTGGCTCAGCTGGTTAAGCGACTGCCTTTGGCTCAGGTCATGATCCTGGAGTCCCAGGATCGAGTCCCGCATCGGGCTCCCTGCTCGGCAGGGAGTCTGCTTCTCCCTCTGACCCTCCCCTGTCTCATGCTCTCTCTCTCTATCTCATTCTCTCTCTCAAATAAATAAATACAATCTTACAAAAAAAAAAAAGACTCCTGATATAATAAAGTACATTTCAGGACCATTTTACTAATTGGCATTGCCACCAGCAGAGCATAAGGGTATTTAAATGAATGCACCATTTTTTACTATCCCGTTGTTGTTTTTTTCTGAAACGATACAAATCCTTGATGGAAACCAGGTTATAGTATAATACCATAGGATATACAAGTGTATACGTGTATATATACACATATATATTGGTATATGTATTTATGCACACACACACACACATATAAATATCAGTATCAATGCAATAGAACCAATATCGGAGCAAAAGACTTTTATCATCCTCCTACAGGATAGTGCTGAGCAAATCCCTTTCTCCCTGGCTTAGACGAAGAGAAAAAGAAACATCTGTGAAGCCAATCGCTGACCTGGTACACTGTGGGTTCTTAAACACCAATCAATGAATGAAAACCTTCTACTAAGACCTACTTCATTCTTGGGGCCCCAGCCACATGATAAAAGTCACATCATCCCAGTTTGACAAAGGAAGGGAACGGAGGCTTAGTGGGGGTAGTTAACTTTCCCAAGGCCATGTAATTAGTAAGTGCTGGCACCCGAATTCACAGGCACAGCCTGTCTCAGTTGAGAGTCTGTGCTTTCTTCCTGTACCGTGAACTACATTGCAGAGAGCGAGCCAGCTAGGCGCACGGAGAGGGGTGGAGCTGACTGCTTTCTGAGGCTCACTCCTGGTTTCCGGTAGCTAATGTCTTGGTGGAGATGCCCCACCCCCAGTAGGAAGCCCATCCTCTAAAGGCAGCCAGACACTGTCCCTCTTCTCTGTCTAGTGTGTTTTATTTATTTTAAAAAGATAATTATTTACTTGTTTGTTTGTCAGAGAGAGAGAGATCACAAGCAGAGAGAGAGGCAGGCTTCCCGCTGAGCAAGGAGCCCGACGTGGGGCTCGATCCCAGGACACTGGGATCCTAACCTGAGCCGAAGGCAGACTTCTTACTGACTGAGCCACCCAGGCGTCCCTGTCTGGGTGTGTTTTAGAAACATTTTAGCTTCTGAGCGCTCTCCCCAAATCTGCATGTGTTCACCACCCCAGGAGCTCTCTGAACCCTATACTCTGGGGGTTTTATGGAGGCTTCATCACATAAGTGTGATAGATCACTAAGTCCATTTCCAGCCCCTCGTCCCTCTCAGGAGAGTGGGAGGCAGGGCTGAAAATTCCAAGCTTCCAACGACTGCCATCACCCAGGGAATTCCAAGGAATTTAGGAGTTCTGTGTCAGAAGCCAGGGCCAAAGACCAAATATTATAACAAAAGATGCTGCTGGTGTTCTTATCACTTAGGAAGTTACAAGGGTTTAGGGAGCTCTGTGCCAGGAACCTGAGGCAGAGACCAATATATATACGTTCTGTTATCTCACGGGGCATTAGCCGGACTTGTGGGACAAAAGTCAGCTCTCAGATCATAGTTACTATATGATTGTGTAACAAAAACCCTTTACTGATGAATTGGGCAGTTGGGAGCCTTTTTCTGAGAAATTCTGGAGGAGCAGGATCTCTCCCCATGATAAATCTTCCTTTGAAGAGGCCCTTTGTTTACTCTCCTAGAACCTCGATCTAAGAGCTTGCTTGGAACCAACATCCAAGTCACTCACGTATGGGCTGCAGAATCTACCTTCTGTTTTTGCAAATTCAGAGATGCTCGATTTGCACTCTTCCTGTGGTGGTTTTCTTTCCCCTTGCTTTTTCTTCCCTTTTACCCACTGTTTCTCAGGTGGGAGCAGTGTTCTGTGCACCTTCAAACTTGTGCCCTGCTGAGTTTGGGCGGCAAGGAAGGAAGCCACACTCCGGGACCTCAGCACAAAGACCTCACTGTTTTTCCCTCACTGCGCCTTGGGCCGCTCGGTGGCTTCTGTGACCCCACTTACCTGGGACACTTTGAATCACTGGGCGGTTTCTCACGTTTCCTCTTTGGTTTCTGTTGGTCACAGCGTCTCTTGGTGATAACCCCGAAGGGGCCATGTTTGGGGGGAGGCAGGACCAGACGTGATTGGACCCGGAGCCAGACTCAGCTTCCTGAGTTTAGAGGGGAGCGCAGCTTCAGCCTGTCCGCACCTCCCCCCCGAAGGGCCCAGTGAGGAGACAGCTCGACAAGCTCCAAATCACACTGCTTTGCAGCTCAGCTCCATCCTCTAGTGGGCCAGGATGACCCACTTCCCTAGTTTAGAACCATCCAGAGCCTTTCCTGGATGGAACACGGCATGTTTTACCTGAACAGAAGAATTTGACTCTCCCCAGTTGTTTCTCTCCATAGCATTCATCTTTCCATATTTATTTTTAAATCGTTATAAAATATACATGAAATTACCATTTTAACCACTTTTAACTGTGCAGTTTGGTAGTGTTAAGTACATTCACACTGTTGTGCAACCATCACCACCATCCTTCTCCCGAACCTTTTCATCTTCCCAAACTATAACTCTGTCCCCATGAAACACTAATGCCCCATTCCCCTCCCCCATCCCCGGCAGCCACACTTCTACTCTCTGTCTCTAAGAATTTTCTGTCTCTAGGTACCTCATATGAGTGCAATCACACAGCATTTGTGACTGGCTTATTGCACATAGCAGCACGTCCTCAAGCTTCATCCATGTTCTGGCACCTTCCTTTCGAAGGCTGGATACTATTCCATGTGTGTATAGACCGCACTTTGCTTCTCCATTCGTCTGCCAATGAACACTTGGCTATAGAATTAATTCAACAAACATTTTCTGAGTGCCAGTGATGTATCCGGCACGGTGCTTGCTCCTGGAGATAAGATTGCTACTGAGGTAGACTAGGAGGTCCCCACCCAGAGGTGAAGAAGCATTAATAATAATGGCCAAAAGTAATGGCAGTTTCTTTCAAGTTCACAGAGACACCAATGACTATTCCTAATTTATGTATCCTCCACAATTTTTAATAAAACCTTTGGCACCTGATTTTAAAAATGAATAAGTAGGAGCGCCCGGGTGGCTCAGTCATTAAGCGTCTGCCTTCGGCTCAGGTCATGATCCCAAGGTCCTGGGACCAAGCCCCACGTCGGGCTCCCTGCTCAGCAGGGAGCCTGCTTCTCCCTCTCCCACTCCCCCTGCTTGTGTTCCCTCTCTCGCTGTGTCTCTCTCTGTCAAAATAAATAAATAAAATCTTTAAAAAAATAAAAAATGAATAAGTAGCAGAGGGGTGCCTGGGTGGCTCAGTCAGTTAAGCATCCAAGTCTTGATTTCGACTCAGGTCTCAGGGTCCTGGGATTGAGCCCCACATTGGGCTCCATGCTCAGCAGGGAGTCTGCTTGAGATTCTTTCCCTCTCTCTCCCCCCCCGCCCCTCCCCCTCTAAAATAAATAAATAAATAAATAAATCTTTTAAAAAAATGAATAAGTAACAGAAATATTAATAGAAAAGCTTGCAAATCACTATACGTACTTTATGTCTTTGAGGGGGTGCTCCTAATGGAAAATTTCAATCACAGCCATAAGACGATGTGTTTATCACCACTTGGACTTCTGTAGCTACAGTGACAAGAATAGCTATGTCGGTATTTCTCGGTGTTCCATGAATAAACAGCAGGAGTTTCTGGTTTCCCGTGCTGTCCCAGGGTAACAGCCCCCGAGCGCCTGGCCACAGGCTCCCAAGGACACCGTGTGTCCCCCCTGCTTCTGCACCCCACTGATCTATTTTCCTCTTGCTGCCCTGTGCTTCATTCTCTGCAACCATCTCATGAAATCGCATGTTTTAAACACTGTTTGGTTTACCGCCGCATCCTGCGATGTGTCTTCTTTACCACGAGTGGTTGCTGTGTAGATTTCTGAGCGTGTTAAAAGTGCCCTGCCTCAGCCAGAGGAGCTCCAGCAAAGCTGCCCAAGATGCTGTGCGTCCTCATAGAAGTTTATACAGCTACACATCTGGTTGCTGAATTGTTCTAGATCTCCCTCTTGTGGGCCATCGACGAATAAAACACACCAATTATATCTAACAGATGGGATGAAGAATCTCGTAGATGATAAGGAATCAATTTCTGTGAATCCTGTGAGTTGATTGGGACCTTTCACTGTTTTTATTATGAAATGTGATAAATCTATAAAAAGTATGTAAAGAATATGAAAATACCCATGCACCCCCACACCAGCTTTATGAAATCTTATTTTGCTGCATATGTACTGTAAATCTTTTTTTTTTTTTAAACTAAAATAGAAAAGTTGGGCCCCTGTGTACCCTCCCTTTCTGCACACGCCTCCTCCGTCAGGTAACAGTTACTCTGAATTGGTATTCATCACTCCCGCACATATTTTTATATTTCCCTACATACATGTGTGTCAAGACGGTACAAACTATTGTTTTTCACCTTCTCAACTTCATGAGGGATGCTATCACACTGGGTGTCTTCTTTACAATTTGTTCTTCCCCTTCAGTGTAATACAGGTAAAGTGTATCCTTGTTATTCCTTTTCTCTCATTTTCCTCCCGTCTATTTTTTTTTAAGATTTTATTTATTTATTTGAGAGAGAGTGTGCGCGTGAGAGAGAGCACAGCAGGGGGGAGTGGGAGAGGGAGAAGCAGGCTTCCCACGGAGCAGGGAGCCCAATGTGGGGCTCGATCCCAGGACCCTGGGATCCTGACCTGAGCCAAAGGCAGACGCT